TATGAAATAAAATTTATTTCTCTGTGAATTTTAGTTCTGTGAGATAAAATTTATTTCTCTGTGCAAATAAACTTTGTATCTTCCAAATAAATTTTCAAGTATTTTTTGTTCGGTGTAGCTGCTCCATTACCATATATTGTTTATGAATCCACGAGTTAAATAAAAAATAGTGTAATAAAATATAATAATCAATATGATATGATATCAATATGATATGGAATCAATATGATATAGAATATTTATAAATTCCTATCGATACCTTAACAGGTTAGAATTTGCTAAAATCCGCTAAAATTCACCTTTCACGGTCTCGTAACCGCATTTCGCAGCATCGATGCGGCGCGCCGATTAACATCGTTCTGCGATCCGCTATATTAACTCTTCTTTTCCGTTCAAATAGCCGCGAGGCAAAAGGCCCGCGAAGAGGCACGAGAGTTTCGCTCTGTCGCCCGCAGCGCGCACGTGCGTATCCCGCGTGCAGCGATACGTCATACGGAAGGGTCGATGATTGTTGCGCGTCCGCGTCGCGTTCTCCTCGAGGAAATCGTCCTTGCCGTGAAACCGGTTACCTTTTGCTCCCCGGCTCTTGGCATGAAACGTAGGAGTAAACGCGGGCGACGTATCTTCGCCGAAACCTCACCTCGATTCGTCCGAATTAACGTTTCACACTCGACCTTTCGGTGGAGGGTCACGGGTACGTGTCTCGCCACCCTCCCGAAACTCTGCGAAAGCTCGCACGATATACACTGCAAAATTTAATACAGTGACATGACAACTACGACGACGAGAAAACGCGTTCATGAATTTTAATTTTCTACACTGAGAGAAAAAATATTTAAGAAATAAAAAAAAGAGTTACTAAAGATAATAAATATTTCTTAAATAGATACAAATAAATATTTAAGAAAAAAGTAGTCGATAGTATTGATACAACATATATGTATCTGCAATTTACAATCTTTTATATATGTATATATATTCTTTTTTTCACATAAGAAATACATTTTTTTAATTTTAGCTCTTCATAAAAGCAATTGTTTATTCTTTTAAATGAAATAATTTAAATTAAAGTAAATATGTTATTAATATTCACTAAAACATATTTTTTTATTTTTTGGATATCCGTTCTTTAAGTGGACGTTAACGATATTTCGTGCAAAATTTTGTTCCGATTTAGCTGCTCCATTCTCATTACGTTCTTTAGTGCCATCCACGTACTGCATGCGACAAAGAATGAACGTTTTCCAGCGAGGTAAACGCGTCATGACGCAAAGATCGACGTCCATTCATCGACATACTCCTGCTATCGTCGCCGCGGGCTACGACCGTGTGATTTTTAAGTTCCATTATTGGAGAAACGCGAAAGAAAGAGAAATAGAGAGAAGTGGATTCACGTAATTTCCCGACGAAGGTGCGCCAACAAGAGAAGAAAATCGCAAGAGCGGCGGCGACGATGACGACGAGAGGCCAGAGAGGCAGAGAGGATGATGAGGAGGAGGATGAGGAAGAGGAGGAGGAGGAGAGGAGTCGCACGCTTCGATCATTACGAAACCGCGAGCGTGAACCGGCGGATTCGTGACGTGCATTTCTTCGGGAGAGAAGAAACGCAAGCTGCGCGCTGAGGGCAGACGACCTCGACGTCCCCTGGCCTCCTCTTGCCGCACCTGGCCCCTCGCCCACCCTCGGTACCTACGCCCTTTGTGTCTCGAAGTAGGTAGGTATTTCGGAGTCGACCTGGCAGCAGGTTTGACAACGACGCGGCCGGAGAGATGTAACGTGAACGACGTTTCTCGGATATCTCGAAGAATAAGGTAAAAGTACCAATTTTCGGATATCTATCTGATTCTGGACATTTTCATTGTCCTGATTTTTAAATACAAATATTTAAAGTGTTAGTATAAAAAAAATATATATACTTTCTATATTTTGAGTTTAAATATTTAACGACCAAAATAATAAGAATGTCCAGAGAATCGATTGTACTAACACACTAGATGGAAATTACAAAAATGAATGAATTCACTAAAATATTTACAATTTTATTGGTCAATATTTAATTAATTTGTTCACTTTTGCAACTTTCATGAATTATATGTTATATTAATACACAATCGATATCTAGGACACGCGTACTTAATCCTGGACGTTGAAATTGTTTTAATCCTTTTATAAATATGGATATTTAAACTTTCAACATAATATATATATATATATTTTTTTTTTTTTCATGTCGAAAGTTTAAATGTTCATATTTCAAGACTAAAACAATAAGAATGTTCAGAATTATGTACGCGACACTTTCAGCTTATACCGCGATGACAAAAAGAAGCTTTGTTAAAATAAAAAGGAAAAAAAATAAGGCAATACAATTTCGTAAAGGAAGAATTCTGAAATCAGTCGTTCCGCCCCGGAATTCTGGGATTATTTTCGTTCTTCTTTTTTTAGGAGTCTCAACGTGCTCGACACAAGCGAGAATGCAGCGTCGTGATTTAAACGGCGAGCTTAAGTTACGATCCGCATTTAGGTGATCCCTTGGTCGACCGTTTGTGCTTTAAGCTTGGAATTTCTTTAATGACGCCATCATTTTTAAGCGCTCTTTAGCGAATTTTCAAATAAAGTATTTAGAACGAGGCGTACCCTCATTTAAAAGTCATTTAAATTAATAGAAAACAACAGTATTAAAAATTATAACAAATGTAACGAGCAGCGCATACATATGTGCAACATACACATACATAGGGCGCTGCCGACGTCGTTCGTGTCCTAATTATTACTTCCATCAATTGTTACTGCTGGAAATTATTATTTAGTATTAGGTCGTTATGGGTGAGTGCGGTAACGTTGAACTGTCGGTATGCAATGCGACTATATATTATATACATATCTATACTTATCGTACCGTGATCGTATTTTTTCAGTTTACACAAATAATCACGCGCGAGTTTCGTAATGAAGTTCGAGTTATCGTTGGAACAAGAAGATGCGTATGCTACGACGCTTACCTAGTATTGAAAGCACGGAGTGAGATGTGTCGAACTATTTACGATGAAATGCCGAAAAAATCACGAAATCTCAGATTAAGAGAAAGAGAAGTAGGAAGTTCTTCTCTATTTTTCAGGTTGAGAATTTGCAAAGAGGTTCTCTAACGAAGGCATGCCGTAAAGAGGAATTTGTAGACAACAACGCACGCTAAAATGCATTCACGAGCGCTATAACGTAAATTGCGTGCAATGAACGCGCAGATCGGTATGCGGAACGCGGAATCTAAAATATTTCGAGCTCGATCAGGCTTGAAAAAAAAAGAAAAATCGGGAGATCTCTTGGTAATGAGAAATACAAAAGAGACGCGCGACGATGAAAACATTTTTTTTGCGTCGCATTGTTTACACGTTACGGTCAACATAGGCCCCTATTAATAACCGTTACTTGAAACTTGTCTCACATGAGATACTCAGATCTGAAATTAGAGTTAGATTTGAGTTATTTATTTGAATCATATACGAGTATGCGACATTACATTCGTAGTTGCGCGTTTCAGCTGAAGAAACTTATATTTAATTCCACGCTCAAATCTGAGTATCTCATCTGAAGCAAGTTTCAAGTAACGACTATATTAATTACGAGTCATTACGAGAAAGAAAATATCTAAGAAATGCAAAAATTTATTCGATGAATACTAATAACATATTTAATGTATACTAACATAAAGAATATTTTCTAAATGAGAAAATATTTTCTCATAAACATTTTCTGAAAACCTGAGCCTCTCATGAAAGCAATTATTTGCTCTATTTAAATAAAAGAATTTAGATTTAAATAAATATGTTATTAGTACTCACCAAAGTATTTTTTTTATCCTTTAGATATTTTCTCTCTTAGAATGTAGAGGCCGTGTATGGTGGAAGGAAGCAACAATCTTTGCGTTGAATCAATATCGTTGGTTGTAGCATCATTGATAAGGCCAGATATTATACCACGTAACACGGTTCGCGCGAAAATGACGTCATGTCTGTCCCCTTTAAATCACGCGGTATCGTGTGTAAGAATCAGCGTGCAGTTTGTTGATCGACCAATGATATCTTGTATCAATATCGATATCTCGATACGAGACAAATTCATACGCGACATACGCGAGAACGTTTTGCCGCCACTGATGACCCGCGAGAAAAATGACAAGAGTCTCATGTGTCCTCGCGAAGGAACGTTTATCACTGCCTGATTATACGTGCGTGTACATTTGAGGCTGACCCGCGACGAAAAAAGAAAAGGAAAATGAACAGCGCATCGTTGGCAGCGAGGGAGCGCGCTTATTAAAGTGACAACTGTACGTGTACAACTCGGGACCGTTCAAAGTGGCAGGTACGAATACGTTTACCTCGCGCCACACATGGGAGAAACAAAGACTTCAAACTTGTGTCAACAAAAATGGAAAGAGCTTGAAAATGTTACGTGTCCTTTTCTGTGTCGGTTTCTTTATGTTTCATTTCAATTCAATTAATGTAATTTGACATTACTGTGTGATATTTAATGAGACAATATTAATATAATATTGTATGTATAAATATTATTTTATATTTACATATTATACGAATATAATACATAAATATATGAATATAATCCACTGCAGCAACAAAAATATGTCTACGTTCTTAATAATTTCTCTCTTTCCTTTTTCCCTAAACTTCATTTCGAAACGAGATCGAACTATGACATCAAGAAAACGCTACAGTAAAAAAATTGTTTTTTTCATTACATATAACATCTCTAAGGAGAACAGATTGTCAAAATAATGTTAATCTGACGTCATTTTGACCAAATATCGAGCAAATTTACGTCAATTTTTGATAAAAATAACATTAAATTGACATTATTTATTGATACTCTTGTTCTCCTTGAGATCGCCCACGAGCCAGCCTCGACATATCACAGCTATCTTTCTCTTTTCTTTTTACCGCGATGGCAGGCGAACAACGACAAATTTGGTAAAAGACCGTGCTCACCTGTTGAAGGTCTGCTCGTACTGCTTAATCTCGCGACGCGATAACTCGTGGAACTCGGTGTAGACGTTGACGAACTTGTATTGCTTCTTCACCTCTTTGCCCTCCTCGAGTTCGTCGTTGATCCTCTGTCGTCTGCTGAGTAGGTTACTGAGCTCGGCGTCCGCGGGCATGATCTTGCTTTGAGCGCGTCTACGTGGATCCTCCGTTGATCGATAGATTCGATTCTCTTTTTCACTTGGAACTACGACGACAACCGAGGACTGGCGTATAACGAACTTTCCGGGAGCGTTTCGCACTCGAAGATGACGCGCGATCGCGCAGAGCAGTGTTTACTTTCGCGATTTAACGGAGAGCAGCTAGAGCCGGGAACTGTCAGGCGGACGCGATCGCGGAAGATACGTCGTTTGCTCCGAAAAGACGATGATCAACACGCCGCAATGTCGCCGCATGTACTGACGCGGCACTGTGTGTACGAACGCCCGGTAGCCGCGCGAGCCGAGCAGTACCGTAACAACTCACCAGGCGCGCTCCGAGCGCCCCTCCGCCGCGCGGTATTTTCAAAATCCTTGAAAAATTCGCGCGCGCCACTATCGATGACGCAACGGCCACTCTTCAGGCGACTCAGTTGTCGAGATTATGTATACTGTTCTTTTCTTCATTCCTGCGGAACAAATGATATTGTGAAGTTAGTTAAAATTGATATAGATTTTAAGATCTATTGAATAGTTTTACGATTACTGTAATTGGTATGTTTTGTATGACTTGGAAATAAGAATTCACATTTAATTCATTGTCTGTTTCATCATTCGTTAAACTGCTCGAAATTACATCAAGGATAAGTTCTTTAGAACGTGAAATTTCTAGTTCTTATATATTTGCGAATATAAACTACTCATTTATTACAGAGCAGACAAATATGAATCAAGATCCGTTGCAAATAAATGTCTTAATAAAGTTAATCAAGTTGTATGAAATGTATTAAAATTTGCATACTGTAAAATTTAACCTTTTTCTTGAAAACTGTAACGGCCTAGACTTGTTACATGGCGATTCCCGGGGGAAAGTAATTAAATAATTAATGTCTCGAAAGGCTTTTCCTCAGAAGACAATACAATCATTAACAATCATATCTAACTTCGACGAAATATACGAGTACACTTATAATCGTAACGCTACAGTTTCTGACGTGACGTGTACAGAATATAGAAAGAATTCTTAATGAGCCAATCGCGCGCTAATCAAGGCAATATTGTAACCGTTAATGCTCCGAATACATCAAGGTTCAATCAATAAAAGATTCATCGAAATATTAGCGCGGGTGGTAATAATTACCCACTCCAGAGTCTCTAAACTCAGTCCTTTTTTTCTAAGATCCAATTACAAATGCTGCGAAGAAACGCATGACGAGTTTAAAGCTACGAGAAAAAAGAGGGCGATTGATTCGCGCGCGCTGATATTTATTTCAGATGTCGCTGTAAGTGGTCGCAGTTGGCTAATTAGTTGTGCTCAACTACGCAAGGTGTCGACACGGCCATTTCTTACAATACGAATGAGATTTTCACAGTTTGAAAGCGTAAATTTTAATATATATAATAGCAAATTCGGTAGTTTGCACTAGTGCGCACTGAGTGCGCATTAAGGCTTGTTTACAGTACATTCTTATATTTAAGATCGTGTCTTAAATACATATTTAAAAACATTTTAACTAATAAAATGATTCGTACGGATGTTATACATATCATATTATGGTTAAAAATATTTGAGAATTTATTTGAGAATTATTTAAGACAATCTTTAAATATAATAACATACTATGAACAAGCCTTAGTGCGCATTCAGTGCACACTAGTGCAAGCAACCGAATTCGCTATAAGATTAGCAAATTGTTTTTTATTCGTTTTTTTTTTGTAGTTATTTAACGTTGGAAAGGAAATGATCGTTCGATCATACTCACAAAAACTTATGAACAAGTTGATGCATGATGTTTTTTAAGAAGTGAATAGAAAATTTAAAATATTTTATTGCGTAAAACACGAATGTGAAAGTTAAAAACGTTGCTCTTAAATAAAACATAAGTTGTAAAACATAAGTTGTTAAAAGGTGACAATTTAGAGGTTGGAAAATGCACACAGCGCACGAATATATAAGCATGCGCAGCAAAAGTGATGTAAAAGTGTGCGAAATTTAAAATATAATTTAAGGATATTTAAAAATATGAACTTCAGTTTTGTAACAAACAAAATTGAATAATATATTTTTGGACCAATGACTTTTGGACGAAACCCCTACCTCACTAAAATTTTAATCTAATCTTACCTTAAAGCATTGTGACATTAATGTTAATTATTAAAAGATATACGTTTATGCACATATATTTTAATAACAAATATTAATGTCGCAATGCTTTAGGATAGGGTTAGGTTAGATTTTTAACCTAAAAATGTATTATTTGTTTTATTATAAAACTAGAGTTCATATTTCTTAAACCGTAGATTTGTTTGTTTTGGAAGAACTTCTAGTACAATATATTATTTGTACTCTCACATGTTTATATGTCTTTCTACACCATCGGTATGACAAATTTCTTAACCTCACAACTATTATTTTTTAGAACTTTCTATCTTTTGTTTTACTTAAGTATGACGATTTTAACTTTCATATTCGTGTTTTGCGCAATAAAGTATATAATATTCCGAAGTTTCAGGCAAATCAGTGAGGAAGCCCGTCTCTTTGACAATTACTGTATATTCAAAAAATTTCATATATATTATACATGATATAATTTTTATACATATATTTTTGTATGTTATATGCACTTTTATATTTCATACTCATTGCGTATTTTGTATATTACATATGATATTATTTTGGTATATTTTTCATATATATAATTTAATTAAGTGAAATTAAATTTACTATACCATTCATGGGTGTGTTAATAATTTCATATATTTATATTTATATTTATATTTATATGTTATTGTAGTTTTAATATATTTCATACTCACTACATATTTTTCATATGTCATATTTTTATATTCTTATATTATATATACTTCATTTATTAAATATAGTTCCATATTTTATATTTTTCATTGATGTTCATAGGCAAGACATTTCATAGACTTACTCTGAAAATACTTGGTATCAACAAACTTAAACATAAAAAACAGCTGGGTTTCTGTTGGACTTCATGATGGTGACGATACTGTTGTCTAGTGAACGATATTTCTGTTCAGACACTAACACTGTTCATAGTCATGCCAGTGAATGGCCTGACTGGTACCACTTTATTGGAACAGCAAAATTTTCTATAAACAGAAGAACATGATCATACTCACAGATGTTGCGTGAAAAAGTTTCCATATATCTGATGGTGATCAACTTGCATCAACTGACTGCTTCATGAGTTTGTATTTCTTACTGAGCAGTTCATGCAAGTATGTTGATAATAAAATACTACAAGTTATTTCCTTCTAGTTGGAGTATACTTGAAACTGGAAATGAAGTTACGTTGATGATATTCAAACTTTTGTGTATATGTCATACAGACAACTGAGATAGAGAGAAAATGATTGTTGCATCGTATTATTACAAACTTAAAGAACTAGATAACTCTGGTAAAGCTCATCCAGATATGACTAACCAGGTAAAGTTTTGCACCAATTCTCAACAGTAATATTAAATTATATATTTTACATTTTTGTTTTCACACATAAAATAAGGGGAGAAACCAATGGGAAACACAAAGAAAGAGAAAGAGGAATTATTCATTTTTATCCAATTCACTTATGTGCTCCACGTACAGGCTGCTTCTGCTTCTGCTTCTGCTTCGCAATATACTTTACAGTTCTGTAGAAAGTTTTTAGAAAGTTTTTTTGGTATATTTTTCATATATATAATTTAATTAAGTGAAATTAAATTCACTATTCACTAAAAAGTTTTTCATCCGGAAAACAAAAATATAATGAGCGGCCGAGCTAAAATCCAAAAACCGTATCTTGAAAAGTCTGCGGAATATACATATACAACACGTTTCTGACGCCTCTTTTCTTCTTTCTCTCAACGAGTCTTATACCATTTTTTTCTTTACTGTTACAAATAATTCCGCGCAAACTACTTGCTATTTTATAGATGAATAATTTCGCTCGCCTACTGTAGGTAATCACCGGGATAATAATTGTGTATTATACAGAAGGTCGTAATGTCTTTGAATACTAATGATACATCATATTATATGGAACTTTTAATAATACTAAAATGGATAATAGAGAAAAGAAAAAAAAATTATATACTTGCGGAGAAGGAAAGGAATACTCAGAAGAAAAATATGCCGCGTCGTGGAATAATCATTATCGGTATCGTCGCCCTCACTTCGTGTCCTCGCTGCGAGACTACCAGTCCAATGCGGCGTTCGATTTTCCTCAATTTGTCCGTCTCTCAATAAAAAGTATATTTATTATTTAAGACAATAACAATAACGATACACACACGCATAGAAACCGTCGGGAAAGTGCGATATAATTTTCTCGGAAAAAATTCCTGTGGGGGAAGACTATAATGCAAATTACGCGAGCGACGCCGATCGAGACGTAGGTAGCCGCCACAGACCAGCAGAAGGATGCATATACTTCCGGTGTCGTTTGCGCTGCTCACTTACACCGGTTACTGGCGACCGATGCATTGGCCGGCCGACTCCGTCAAGTATTGGATGTATAATATCTACACCACCTTTATGTTTACGCTGCTGCAGTCGTTTGTGTTTTACGGACTGGTGGACATCTTCCTGTCGGCGAACCTGCAAGAATTTGTAGACAAGTTTTATCTGTTCCTCTCGGTCTTCGGCGTTTCCATCAAGCTCATCCACCTCTTCATACGTCGCCGACGGATCATCGGTCTGGACGAGATGCTGCTGAAGGAGAATTGCGTCCCCCGGGACGCCGACGAAGCGTCGATCCGGCAGAAGTTCGAGCGAAACGCGAGGTACGTTTGTTCATGGAGCATAACGGTTGCGGAACGACAACGAAGTAACTTTCAAAGATCAATCTCCTCTCTCTAGTCACTAGTCACTCTCTTTAGTCACTTAAGAATTTACCATGTTGAGCCAGTCGAAAATGAAGCGATCGTTAGCTTGTTAGAAGCTGATTATGACCCACTTAGAACGTTCAGGAGGAATCCAAGTGAGCTTGCAACTAAACGTCTTTTCTCTCTTCTGCTTTATTAAAATATTTTATATACGTTCTTTGAATAACGAAAAAGAATCGAATAATTCCTTCTAAAAGTTGAAATTATAACAATTTCAATAACTAAATTAAACTTTTGTGATATAAACATTCCGTGTGAATGCACATAGTTGATTCAAACATAAATCTGAACGAATGTTTTGAGCAATATTGATCTCTCTTTCCTTGTTATTAAAATATGACTCGCATTTTTTTAAATAACTATCAAGAATAATTTACTTTAAATCTGATCATGTTAAGATAAACATTAATGATTGATGAATAATTGACAGAAAATAAAAGAAATTTGTGCGGAGTATTTGGTAAGTGCACATCATATAAATCGAATTCCTCAGACAGGTCACGATTGCTTGCGAGATCCTGAACGAGTCCTGCGCGTTAATGGCGACCTTCGCGCAGTTTTACCTGTTCTTGAAGACACACACCTTGCCAGTGTACAATTGGGCGCCCTTTGATCTCTCGTCCATGATCGTCTTCGTGCCTATGTTGATCTATCAGTCGGTGACCTTATGTCTGTGCGCCAATTCCAGCGTCGCACACGAGACTCTAATATCCGGCCTGATGATTCAAATCTGCGCTCAATTTGAGATTCTGTGCCATCGCGCTCATATGTTACCGATCTTGTTGATGGAAGCTGAGAAGAACAGCCAGTCGGAGCAGGATTTGAAAGCGCGCGAAAGACTGATCATCCGTGATTTGATAGAGCATCATCTTTACGTGTACAAGTGAGTATTCGGCAATCGGACTGCTAGAGATAAAATCTAACTATTATTAGCCGTCTTACGATACTCCTGCGTAAAAACTGCGGGAATTCGCAGTTGAATCTTCCTTTCACTCGCTCATGTGCGCATCTTATCATGTACAATTATAGTCATAATTTATAGTGATATTAACAGTGTTCACGTAATCCGTAGATTGGCACATACAGTTAATGCGGTCTTTACCTTGATCATGTTCATCCAGTTCTCCATGATCTCCCTCGTTCTCTGTTTGAGTATCTACAAGATATCCAACATGACGACATTACTCACACTTGATTTCGCATACGTCTTTTCTTACCTGGGCTCAATGCTGATGCAGATATTCCTTTACTGTTGGTACGGGAACGAAGTAACGCTGAAGGTAGATGTCATGCGTTATTTCTTCTCGCGTTTTTGAGTCATTGGTTCACTGGCAAATCATATTTTTCCTTTTGAGAGAAAAAAAATAATTAAACTATTTTTCTTTTAATATTTAACACTTCTTGATTAATCATCTGTGGTACTTTATTTTTCCTTTTCTTTTTTTTAAGAGTAGAAGTGTAATAGTTATATAATAAATGTAATATAATAATAATACTTTTTAATTGCTCATTTGTATTATATTGCATTGAGTGAAATTATTCTGTAATAATTGTTTAATAGAAATTGTTTAATATGAATAAACGAAATCAGTGGAACACTTTATGACAATAAAGATAAAAATAAAAATTTCCAATAATTAAAATGTTTTTGTATATAAAAGCACGAAAAAGTTTGTTTTACATAAAAGTCCTTACGCGAAAATATAATAAGCTATTATTTATACAGTAATTTTAAGTAATTTCTTTCAGAGCGTCGAAGTTTGCAATGCCGTTTACGGAATGAACTGGACAACGTTAAGAGTTCGAGTAATGAAGGATCTTGCAATAATAATGATGCGCGCTTCTAAACCCTTTAGAATATCAAGCGGTTACATAGTGACTTTAACCACAGAATCCTTCATGAGTGTTAGTATATTTAAAATTGAAACTGAATCACAAAGTTAAAAATATTTCGACAAGGCGATTTAAGGCATTCTCTGTGCGCTATTTACTTGCAGATTCTTAAAATATCCTATTCAGCATACAACGTTCTGCACGGATGATGAGTAGATAAGAAGAAAGTGTGTTGTGCTTAATAAAATGCAAAGATCAATGACTTCATCGTATCTCGTCTATATTTAGGTAATCCTCTCTGGCTGTTGTGATAAAACAAAAATAAACATTCCACTTTTTGGAATTACTTCTCGGTGTGGTTGTAGCCAAATAACAAACTTTCCTCATATTCTTCAATATTTGAACTCATTCGATACAGGTCGATATAAACACTCGAATAAATTGAATCAATCGAATTTCCTCTTTCTAAATCTCTTTTTTATTCTGTCCACAATAAAGTTATCATTATCAATTTAATTGGATCTTTTCGTGCATGTAACGAGCCATAATCAAATACAAACGTTTATGTAACTTTTCGTATACTCTTTGTATTGTAATTTAAGTGTACAATGTCGACACGATCGAAATTATCTTTGACATTAACTTAACGTTAAAAGTAATTATAAATTCATGCGTTTGCAAAATAAGTATATTCGCGTGTGCCATTTTGTAATTGAGCTTTCAATTGCAGATCTAAGATAGTACGTGCTTATTTAAGATCGTGATGCCATTATTATTTCATGAACGACGGCTGATTGTGTTGCGAACTGAGCCACCGCGGATTATCGCGTTCGCCTTTGTCGATGTCAGTCTCTCATCGACAAATAGTTTGAATCAACTGAACGAAACACTCTAATCAACGAGAGTTGATGTCGAAGCAGCTATGTAAACGCACCGCGATTGTTAACACGTCGGATTACGTACAAGTCGAATGCACACGTATACAAACATTAATTAAGCAACGAAAACCAACAATCATTCTCACATGAATATTGGCAGAGACATTGATGTTAAAGCTTGTTGAATAATTGTACGATTATTGTAATTGATGTGTTGTATACTACTTAAGAATAAAAAATTTATTTAATTATCCACTTTTAATTATCTTTACTATTATCTATTCGTGCTACTTATCTAGAGAATTTTAAACGCATCCATCATATTTTATGATACAAATAAATTTTCAATATAAAATCTCAACCGATATACGTCATATACGATGCAAAATTGTCAAAGGAGAACGCTGTTATTTATTTAAATTCATATATTTTTATGCGAGACAATAACAAGAGGCGAGTTTTTTAATTCATCGATGGATCCATCGCATGATGCGTAAATACAGCGAAACGTTGCATTTGCGCATCATGCGATGGATCCATCAATGAATTAAAAAACTCGACCAAGTTTATTGTTGCAATATGTTGACTTTTTCAAACTGCATGCTTTTTGATCTACCTCGTTATCGTTATTTTTGCCAACTACAGCCTACTGAATTTTGTATATGCTTAACTATTGAGGAAAAATCTTTTATTCGGAAATTTAATTATAAATAATAATTTAATTTATTGTTCATGATATATGTAAATGACATTTGATATAATGTTTAATCGTATAATTTTAAGTTAAGTACGATTATTGCCTTACTGCTGAATATAACTTAAGAATGAAACAATCTTGATAATAAAATCTACCATTCAATAAATCGTACTATTTACAAATAAACATATTTGAGTTGAATGAACTTGATAATAAAATACTTTGATATGTCGTAACGTGCTATTTGAAAATAGAAATGATTTCAAACTTGCTATTAAACTTGCTGCTCAATATTGAAAAACATTTGAAAAATAAATGTACATCTAACTAGGACTGCGTTCGGGAAGACGCTATTTAGCGCTATGAGCATTCTTTGTCCTTGTTCAACTTTCAAGAACAAATAAGAACAGAACACATTAGTGCGCAGTTTAGTGTTGTGTCGTACTACGCGCTAAATTTATCTTCTTCTTATTTAATTGGCCGAAGATATTGCAGTAATCCTATTATCGACATCGAAAATTGCGAAGTGTGGTGAAGTGTGTCCGGTTTGTAACGTGTTTCTCGCGACGGAGAAAACGAAAAGACCGAAAAGATTGTTTACTGACAAATCAGCGAATATTTGAGAGGTATCATTGGCTGTGTTCAGAAAGCAGGAAATTGTTCTCTGACTATAAACGTTCTGCAAGCATATGGTTTGCTGCAAAGCTGAAACAAAAAAATGAATTAAAGGAAAGAATCGGTCCAGCAATATCTGCAGTCACAGACAGCACGTAGATAATTAATCTTTTATTTTATATATATATATATATATATATATATATATATATATATATATCGTAATTATTTAGAAGACGAGCCTCACCTTGGATTTCGCTGAAACTCACCTGTTTTATGTATTTCGATGCGTAGAAGCCGAATCTGAAAGTTAAAATCGTCGCTCGGCTCTACAAACCGAGAAATTAATTGTTAAAGATATAGGTATGATAGGTTAGGTAGGTATGATAGGTTAGAAAACCTGTCATTGCAACGTAAAGTCTGTTCGTAGAGCTGTCTTTTCTGTATTAGTGCAGGGGAGCGTCCCGATTGACCACGGTACGATTGGACACAACCAACCGATGAAAAGAATTATCTAGTGAATTACTAAGCCGAACCAATCATTACAATCTGTGTCCAATCGTATCGTGGTCAATCGGGTCCCACCCTTAGTGCAGTAAGTACTGCAATATCGAATGACGAGCGGGAAGCTGCGCCTCCCGCACCTGCACTAAAAACTAACTTAACCCAACCTATTGTCACATTACCCGTCAGTCATTGTTTATTAAAGTGTCCAACTTTTTTTCTTAATCATTTTTTAATAAATAATGAGTGACGGTTAGTGTGACGATAGGTTGGGTTAGGTTAGTTTTTACGGGGACGCGGGGGGCATAGCTCCCCGCTTGTCATTCGATATTGTAGTATTTACTGCACTAGTACAGAAAAGACAACTCTACGAACAGACTTTACGTTGCAATGACAGGTTTTCTAACCTATCATACCAAGCATCTTTAACAATTAATTTCTCGGTTTGTAGAGCCGAGCGACGATTTTAACTTTCAGATTCGACGTCTACGCATCGAAATACATAAGATAGGTGAGTTTCAGCGAAATCGAAGGTAAGGCCCGTCTTCTAAATAATTACCATATATATATAGGAATATTAACTATTTATTTTATATTTGTTTATCATCTATTTATTTCTTGTACTATTTTTCTTGTGTAAACTTATATAAACTTGTCTTTAATCTTGCACAGACTTCATTCCATATTTAACGATGTTGCCAAAATGGTTCCACTGCAAAGAATTATACAAACATGAATGATATCATGACGTATTAAAACTGAAACATTAAAATTATACAATTGTATACAATAATAATCTATTAATTTATAAATACATATATATTCACACATTCGTATAATTATTTTTTTATCTTGTTTATCTCCATGCATTCCACGTTTCCACCTGTTTGCGTTATTTTAATATTTTTTAATTTTTATTTTATGCTCCATTATATATTTTATATTAATATTTATGAAGAATTACAATTCTTCGATATTTACTGTTTACACTCCTATATTTGTCTAAAAGGCTTCGCAAACTAATGCCCAATTTCTTCATTTTCGGTTAACTTTATCTGTCGGATAAATGTCAAACGTGATTGGTTAATCTTGCCAACCATAAATATGATTGGTCAATTCCAATAGAATAACTGGCAGATAAAGTTAACTGGAGGTGAAGACATAACAGACAGGTTATTGGACATAACAGACTCACTACTTAAACAGTGTTACTAATATACAGAAATTAAAATTATATCATCTAGAGGTTTTTGTTCGTACCAATACTATCCCCTTCTTTTCGGGAAAATGTAGTCTAACCCCCAATCGCAAGCAGATGCAATTCTTTTTGCGACAGCCAATCGGAAGCATTAATGGTGCCATTGAAGCTTCTGATTGGCTGTCGTAAGTGTTGTGATCAACTTGCAACTAATGGCTGCGTTCAGCAAAGAAAGCTGCTTTGCAACCGTGTAAAATTTGTGAATCTGATTGATACATACTCTTGGATTCAACTAAAATTAAGAGCATACTCCAATCAGATTCACGAATTTTACAACAGTTGCAAAACAGTTTTCTCTGCTGAACGCAGCCATTGTAGAACGATCTTTAGGCGCTCCAAATATTTTGAAGCACCGTATAGAGCAATCATGACTTCTCTTTAAGTGCTTCAAAACATTTGCAGCGTTTAATGGATCGTGCCCTACAAATATCGGCCAAATATCTATAACGGGTCTAAAATGAACATTTGGCCTTGATCGTGTAATTTTTTCAACTTCATATCTCGGTTGAAATTTTCTATTGAAAACTTATTATATTACGTAATTTTTCAAAACTATCGAGGAGATAATCAATTCTACATAAAAAAGAAGTTGTACATCGATCTATCAAACCTGTTTGGATGTTGTGATTTTTTTGAAAAATATCTTGGAATTTCCAAGAAACATCAAGGATTTCTTAATCGGAGAATGGCATTGCCAAATTAATACATATCTTTTAACGTTAAGGCAGAGGCCTTATTATGTGCCTATAATCATATATTGAAAAAGAGAGAGAGAAGTCAGTTCATCAATCAAACGTAAGTTTTGATCTGAACGCTACACAGGACGTTTCAAAGGCTTTAAAACTGTATCTTTTAATTATTGTTAAGTGGCGTTAGGGCGTTAGTTTTATTAGCAATCTGGAGTTATACATTGAGATAGATCAATCAAATGTCATTCACTCCCACTTATAAGGAGTGAGTGAAAACAGTTTTCTTGTTATATATGTAAGAGTCAGATTATTAAGTTTTTTAATGTATAAATAGTGTTTCTGTTTATGTAAATACATCTGCCATTCAATGCTAAGTTCTTTTTGTAACGTCGTCATTGATTTTTAACGACAAATTTCTCTTTTTAGGTATGAACCTAACCTATATCTTTCAAAATGAGTAAATACAGGCGCGAAGAGACTTCAAGTGAGGATAGTGATAGCGAGGAAGAGCGTCGCAAAAAGGATATTAAGGAGAGAGACAGTTTTGCCAGTCGTCTTAAAGCCAAAGATGAAAGTAAGATACGCAAGATTGCTATGCCAGCTGGTTCTGGAGCAGGTAAGTTACAACTATTTATTAATATTAAATATATAAAATAAAACAATTATATATCTGTAAACTGTTAAAGCATTGTAAATTGTTAAAGCATATTTGTTGAAATAAACATTTATCACAATTACTTATTGTGAATTATTTTTTGCAGCTGAAGCAGCAAAGAGGCTTAAGATTATGGAGACTGATACCAGGGAACATCTGGTATCGAAGCTACGTATTGACTCTCGTAGGAAATATCTGGAAAAACGTGAAGGGGACAAAGTGGCTGAATTGGAGGCTGATATTGTTGATGATGAATATCTATTTGAAGAAGAAATGTAACTTTTTTTCTCTAATATATAGAAATTCAATATTAGTTTAATTTATAGGATGGAATAATTAGTTAAATAATTATCTGTTTTAATATAGATTAACAGGATAGATTTATAGGATGGAATAATTAGTTAAATAATCATCTGTTTTAATATAGATTAACAGATAGTGAAAAGCGTGAAAGGGCTCATAAGAAACAGCTACTACATTTAGCAAAGGAGCATGAAAAGGCCAGAGAACTTGAACGTATCCAGCGTTACCATATGCCTCTTCTAGAAGGCAAGATAGAACCAGAACCTGACGTAACAGACAAAGAGCCACCGCAATCTGAGCAAAGCAAATGGGAATCAGATCAGATGTCATCGGCTGTTTTCCGTTTTGGTGCTAGAGATAGAAAAGGTATATGTCGAATTATTGCATCAACAATTGTTTATATAGCAAACAATAACAATTGTTTATATTTTTTTTATTATGACTACAGTTCAATTTTATAATCCTTTATTGTGTGTGTATGTGTGTGTGTGCAGCTCAACAAGACTATGATCTCCTCATGGAAGATGAGATAGAATTTGTTCAAGCACTACGCATGCCTGGTCATGACAAAGATAAGAAACGCGAGGCCAGTCCTCCAGCGCATGTTAAAACATTGCAAACGATACAAGAAACGAAAAAGAGTCTACCTATTTACCCATTCAGAAACGATCTCATTCGCGCTGTCCAGAATTACCAGGTGAGTAGAGTCGATTTTGGAATGCCACACGATGAATGCTGTTATAGAATACCAGAGATGTCACATTTGAATGTCAGGTTTTGATAATAGAAGGCGAAACGGGATCGGGGAAAACCACGCAAATACCACAATATCTGTACGAATCTGGATTTGCAGAGGACAATAAGATAATCGGGTGTACGCAGCCGCGGCGAGTAGCTGCGATGTCCGTAGCCGCGAGAGTGGCCCATGAGATGGCTGTTAAGCTGGGAAACGAAGTCGGCTACGCTATCCGTTTTGAAGATTGCACGTCGCATCGTACTCGTATTAAATATATGACCGATGGTACGCTACACCGAGAATTCCTCAGCGAACCCGATTTAGCATCCTACAGGTACATAAGAGAGAAATTGCGAATAAGATCAAATCAAAGAAATATTAAAATATGTAAAGTTCTCTTAGATGCAATTTCAAGTGTAGAGAAAACTGTTTGTAGGAGTTTATCGCGGTTGTTTTTAATGCAGCTGTCAAATCTTGAAGCTTAAATAAAATAAATTATAAAGAATGGATGATAATTATGAAGAATATTCATCGTGTTCTTAAGTTATTAACATGCGTGAAATTGCAATACGATAACAAGTTGCTATAATAATTCTTAGTCATTAGTTTATTATGTGTTTTAGCGTGATGATCATTGACGAGGCGCACGAACGTACATTACATACCGACATATTATTCGGGCTAGTGAAAGACATCGCGAGGTTTCGTCCTGATCTGAAGCTTCTGATTTCGTCGGCCACGTTGGACGCCACGAAGTTCAGCGAGTTCTTTGACGACGCTCCTATATTCAGGATACCTGGTCGTCGTTTTCCTGTCGACATTTATTATACGAAAGCGCCGGAAGCGGATTACATCGACGCTTGCGTGGTCTCTATTTTGCAAATTCACACGACTCAACCGCCAGGAGACATATTGGTGTTTTTGACCGGCAAGTATGGTGGAAGCGAATCTGCGTTATATCAAACACGATGTTAGATAACATATATTTTCGTGCGCAGGACAGGATGAAATCGAGACCTGTCAGGAGATGCTGCAGGAGAGAGTCAGGAGACTTGGAAGCAAGCTGGCGGAACTCTTGATTTTGCCCGTGTACGCGAATTTACCGAGCGATATGCAAACGAAGATATTCCAGCCGACTCCACCAGGAGCGAGAAAAGTAACTTACTTCTTTGACTTTTATACAAGTTGATTTCCTCGAAATTACTTTATACACAGAATCTTGATTCTCATTTATTCACCAGGTTGTATTGGCGACCAATATCGCGGAGACTTCGTTGACTATAGATAACATAGTATACGTGATAGACCCTGGATTCGCGAAGCAGAACAATTTCAATTCGCGCACGGGCATGGAAAGTTTGATGGTCGTGCCGATCAGTAAAGCGTCCGCGAATCAGAGAGCCGGTCGAGCGGGTCGAGTTGCTCCTGGAAAGTGTTTCCGATTATATACTGCTTGGGCATATCAACACGAGCTCGAAGATAACACCGTGCCTGAAATTCAGAGAATTAATCTCGGTAAGAAGCAATGATCTCGTTAATATTTTTTTCTCAAAATATTGTAACAAATTTTTGGATTAAATTTAATTCTCTCAAATGTTTTATTGGTGTTTGTAGGTAACGCGGTGCTTACTTTGAAAGCACTCGGTATTAACGACTTGGTACATTTTGACTTTTTGGATCCTCCGCCGCACGAGACGTTGGTCCTGGCATTGGAGCAGCTTTACGCGCTAGGCGCGTTGAATCATCGCGGGGAACTGACGAAACTGGGACGTAGAATGGCTGAGTTTCCGCTGGACCCAATGATGGCGAAAATGCTGTTGGCTAGCGAACGATATCGCTGCTCAGAAGAGGTGGCGACCATTGCGGCTATGCTCTCGGTAAACGGCGCGATCTTTTATAGACCAAAGGACAAAATCATACATGCGGACGCTGCGCGAAAGAATTTTCATGTACCTGGCGGCGATCATCTTACTCTCCTCAACGTATACAATCAATGGCAGCAGAGCGATTTTAGTACGCATTGGTGTTACGAGAATTTCATACAGCACAGGTGTGTACGCACAACCCGTAATATTAAAATACCTTATACAGCACGATTTGTCGCACCTTGTCGTTCCAGATCCATGAAACGGGCGCGGGACGTCAGAGAACAGTTGGTAGGTCTAATGCAGCGCGTCGAGATGGAATTGGTTTCAGGGATCACGGAGACAATTAACATTAGAAAGGTTTGTTAATATCACGCAACAAAAACTTGACATTATTATTATCACTTCGTGAAATAACAACGTGGCATTTGTTTTAGGCTATCACAGCCGGTTACTTCTATCACGTGGCACGTTTGTCCAAAGGTGGTCACTACAAAACCGCGAAACACAATCAAACGGTTGCGATACATCCGAACAGTTCCCTATTCCAGGAGCTTCCCCGTTGGTTGCTTTATCATGAGCTTGTATTTACTACCAAGGAGTTTATGCGTCAAGTATGTCAATAATAAAAAACCATAAGATATTCTCTTCTAGTTTGAATGTACTTACAACTAGAAACGAAGTTATGTTGATGATTCTCAAAGGTACATTTGTGTGTGTGTCGTACAGGTGACTGAGATCGAGAGTAAGTGGCTGTTGGAAGTGGCACCGCATTATTACAAGCCTAAAGAATTAGAGGACTCGACGAACAAGAAGATGCCGAAAGTTGCTGGTAGAGCACGACCGGACGGCACTAACTAGGCATAATTGCGCACCACTTCTCGACAGTAATGTTAAATTATATTTTTTACATATTCGTTTTTACACGGCGCATCAATAGAAAAAAAGGAAAGAAAGAAAAAAGAATATGTTGTCGACTTTTATTCAATTCACCTGCCGCTCTGCCGCCCAAACTATTCCTGTTTCCTGATGCACTTTGCAGTAGGAGAAGAGCGGACGAATTGCGGAGTGTACTAATTGTATTGTAAAAAGTTCGCGGAATATACATACGTGACATGGTTCTGGCGCTCTTTTTTTTCTTTCTCTCAACGAGTCTGATACCATTCTTTTCTTTAATGTTGCAAATAATTCCGCGCAAGCTACTTGCTATTTTATTGATGAATAATTTCGCTTGGCTGTAGGTAATCATCGGGGTAATAATTGTGTATTATACAGGAGGTCGTAACGAATATTAATCGCCGGGGTAATTATTGTGTATTATACATGAGGTCATTTGAGTACCAATGATATATGTATATTATACTATAACTTTCAATAACTTTCAATAATATTAAAAGGAACAATGGAGAAATGAATAGAAATTATTTACGGGCGGAGAAAAAAAGGAATACTCGAAAGAAAAATATGCCGCGTCGTGAAATAGTCATTATCGGTATCGTCGTTCTCACTTCGTGTCCTCGCTGCGAGACTACCAGTCTAATGTGGCGTTCGATTTTCCTCAATTTCTCCGTCTCTCAATAAAAAGTATTTATTATTTGAGACAATAATAATAAACGATATATACGTGTAGAAACGATATAAACGTGTAGAAACTGTCGGGGAAGCGTAATATAATTTTCTCGGGAAAAATTCTTGTGAGGGAAGACTATAATGCAAATTATCTGCACGCGACTGATGGCGATCGAGGTATAGGTAGCCGCCGCAGACCAGCAGCAGGATGCACATACTTCCAGTATCGTTTGCGCTGCTCACCTACACCGGCTACTGGCGACCGGCGCATTGGCCAGTTAGCTCCGTCAAGTATTGGATGTACAACGTTTACTCCAGCTTCATGTTCACACTGCTGCAGTTATTCGTTTTTTACGGACTGGTGGACACCTTCCTGTCGACGAGCCTGCAGGAATTCGTGGACAAGTGTTTCCTGTTTCTCTCGATCTTCGGTGTTTCCATCAAGCTTATCCATCTCTTCATACGTCGCCGACGGATCATCGGTCTGGACGAGATGCTGCTGAAGGAAAATTGCCTCCCTCGGGACGCCGACGAAGCGTCTATTCGGCAGAAGTTCGAGCGAAACGCGAGGTACGTTGTGTATTGAGCGTATTAATTGCCGAAAATCAATGAAATAACTTTGTTTGTTTCCAAGATCAATCTCCTCTCTTTCTTACTTTACTTAAAAATTTACCGCGTTAAGCTGCTCCTTTTCTTGCTTTATTAAAATATCTGATTCCCGCGTGTTTCGAATATCGTGAAAACAAATCTAATGGAACTTTGCAACGTCAAAATGAACAATTTCTCCATAATTAACACGAATTTTTGTGATGTGAATATTTTGTGAATACACTTGGGCAATTCGAATGTAGATCTGAACAAATCGTTGCGCGCAGTATTAGTTTATCTATTGTTATTAAAGTGTGGTATACATTTCTTAAATAACGATAAGGAATCAATAATTTATTTAAAACCTAATAATATATTATAAGATAAAGATTAATGATTGATGATTGATGAGCCTATCAAGAATGAGAAATGTTAATTGATTTGAATTTTCCAGACAAGTCACGATCGTTTGCGAGATCCTGAACGAGTCCTGCGCGTTTATCCTGACCTTCGGGCAGTTTTACCCACTCCTGAAGACGCGTACCTTGCCGGTATACGGTTGGACACCTTTTGATCTTTCGTCCGTAGCAGTCTTCTTGCCTCTGCTGATCTTTCAATCGGTGGGTTTATTGCTGTGCGCCAATTCCAGCGTCGCGCACGAGACTTTAATCTCCGGCCTGATGATTGAAATCTGCGCTCAATTCGAGATTCTTTGTCATCGCGCTCATATGTTGCCGACGTTGCTGATGGAAGCTGAGAAAAATAGTCAGTCGAAACAGGATTTGAAAGCACGCGAAAGACTGATTATTCGTGATTTGATAGAGCATCATCTTTTCGTGTACAAGTGAGTATTTGTGGAATTGCTAGAGATTAAATTCAGCAATTATTATCTGTCTTACGATGTTTCTTCGCGAAAACTACGGGAATAAATTTTCATTTTCTTCTCGCTTAATCATTCGTGCACTTTGTACGAAAAAGTAATTTATAGAATCAAATAACAGAATATCCACGTAATTCGCAGATTTGCACGTTCGGTTAACGCAATCTTTACGTTCATAATGTTCGTCCAGTTCTCCATAATTTCTTTCATTCTCTGTATGAGTGTCTACAAGATGTCCAATATGACGTCCTTATTCACGGTCGACTTTGCGCATATTTTTTCATACCTGGCGTCGATGCTGATGCAGATCTATCTTTACTGCTGGTACGGGAACGAAATAACGTTGAAGGTGGAGATCATTTATTATTTTTTCTCGTATTATTGAATACCTAGTTCACTGGTAAATTGCGATATTTATTCTTTTGATTGAAAAATGTAATAGTTTAATAATATTTTTTAATTCATGATTTGTGTAAGACTGAGTAGATTTGTTTAGTTATAATTAATTATAATTATTTATAATTATTACTTATATAATTATTATTTATAATTATAAAATTAATTATAGTTATAAAAAAAAATATATATATGTATATATATGACAGTAAGTGTAAAAAATTTCAATAACTGAAGCGTTTTTTAAGTAATCCACGTAAAAGTTATTAAACGATATTATAATAAGTTATTATAAATAATGGTTGTAATTAATTTCTTGCAGAGTGTCGAGGTTTGTAATGCCGTTTATGAAATGGACTGGACAATGTTAAAAATCCGAGTAATAAAGGATCTCACAATAATAATGATGCGTGCTGCTAAACCCTTCACGATGTCGAGCGGTTACATAGTCACTTTAACAACCGAATCCTTCATGAGCGTTAGTATACTCAAAATTAGATTAAAAAGCTAAAAATATTTGGTTAAGTTAATTTAAGGCAATTTAGGTATACTGTTTATTTTGCAGATTCTTAAAGTATCCTACTCAGCGTACAACTTTCTAAAAGATTCATAGAAAAGAAGAAAGTGTGTTAGTGATTAATAGCTCACAAATTAGTAGCTTCTTCACAAACACACATTGTCTGCATTTAGGAAATCCCTTCTCGCAGCTTTAATAAAATTAAAATATACATACCTTGAATCGTGTGCTTCTTGCTCCGCTGCCACATTGTTCTTCATATGTGAAACCTTCTTCATATCATCCTTCATCATCTCAATGATGTTTCAACCCCAAGGTTTGAGACGAATTGATTTGATCAATCGAATTGGACCTAATTTAATTGAATTTATGTTTCGTGTGCGTAGTGCCTCGCGATCGAGTATGAACGTCGCGTAACTCCTTGTTACTTTTGTAGAATAGATTTTGCTCAGCTCGAAGAGAACAGTTCGTTGTCTAAAACGTCATCCGTTGCAGTCTGTACATGATAAGACGAGCGGCGCCATGCGATAAGTAAATGGGCCACATTAATATCCGGAGGAATGCATTTCTCGGTTTTAGTTGCAGTACGTGCCCGGACTGGTATGCGGCGGAACAGGATGAAATACTAGTTGTACGCCGCCGCTTGTAATTTGGTGCCTTATAATTGCGTTAGCGGATATTCCATGGCAATCTTGGTGTCGCAGCGTGGCGCTATTAACTCGTAATGTACAAACGATCCCATGAAATATCATCGCGAAAATGCAGAATATCGAGCGCATTTGGCTCCGTCAAACGTTTCGCGCGGTTCGTGTGACGTTTTTGGCGCATCCCTCGACCGCCGTCAGCGTCCCACACGTAATATATCGTTTTTCTCTCATGGCAAACGTATATCAAACGTATATCAAACGCGTCGGTGTGTCGCAACCACCAGGAATCTCGCGGTGCTCGTAAAAACGTCCAGAGGAAGTCCCGGATCTTCCGGTTTACCTGCGGCCCGCGTTTAAAACTAAAAATGCAATCGATACGCGAGGGGACTTTATCTCTTCGATATCAGACTGCTAATGCAATGTCACATTGGACCACATAGGATGTCTATATTTAGAGTCTGAGATATGAATACGCCTCTCAATTTTTCAGACGCCTCTTGGATGTTTTTCATACCGGCTCCTTTTTATGCCGCGTCTTTTAGATGTCTCTTGTATACACACGGAGGGTTGCCGGTGATAGATGGTAATCGGAAAAGTCAGATGACAAATGGTGTTAACAAAATGCGATTGTGAGAGGGGAACGGAAGAAGGAGACAGCGTTATTCGCGTCCACAGTTCGGAGCCACAATTCGAAGCCGTGGGAGAGACTTGAAAGAGACAGAGAAATAACGATAGAGAAGAAGGGAGATATTGCAAATACATTGGGCGTACATGATTTAAATAAATTTTTTCAAACTTTCTCGTTTCTTTATTTCACTTTACAACCGCCATACAGGGTGCCCGACAATTCATGACGCACTCGTTGTCTGCAAGTAGAATTCATCAAATTGAACACGAAATTTCTCCATTTCACAAACAACTACGTAGATTTGTAGTTATTAATTAAAGAAGATTGGTGAGTATGATGGTGAGCAATAATGCGCCAATTTTCTTTAATTAACAACTCAAAATTTTACGTAGCTTGCGAAATAGTAAAGGAGTTTCGTTCAGTTTGATGAGTTCTACTATATTACGGGAGTACTATTAATTGTAAAACATACACCCTATACATGTATATAATGGATTTTGTGTAATATATTTTTTTCATTGGCATTGGAGATGTATATAAGGTGTCATAACGCATATCAATATTCAGGTGCGAATAAAGTTCAGGAAACGAAAAAGCAATATAAACGCGTAATAAATGGATTGTTTTTTTAATTTTATGTCGACTCATTAGTGAGTTTGAAATCACTCGGCATTAGCGCCAAACCGAGTGTGCCATCTGCTGTCGCGTTGGAACACGTGTTGATGCTGTTCTCTTCTAAAGTGAAGTAAGCGATCACGTGGCTGCAGGGACCTTCCTTGTCTGGCCCACGGAATGGAAATAGCTAGCAGCGTCCGCTACGTGTCGCCACCTATCGCCTCTCAACTGATTGTCGCAGCTTTTAACTTCAACATCGTCCACTTCATGGGATCCTCGGGATTCCCCCCAATTTAGGAAAAGTTCTTATTGAAACTGGTATTGTATCGTTTTAATTATAATAATGTAGATGCGTGTTGATAGCGTAGATAGAAACATAATATTACATGTAAATAACGTACACGTAAATACGTAAACACGTATAGAAGACCAGTCTTACTACAAGAGAGAATCTTGAGGGTCTTACGAAGTTTACGATCCTGAGGTTTAAGCAACCACGTCTCGCGGCTAAGGCCGAACGCCATGTTTAACTGACCCGCAGAGTGGGGATTGCGAGCAGCTGTTCGCTGCAATCCATCACGTACGTCCGAGAAATATTGCTTCCCAAAATAGCCGCGCGGAATGCAGCCACTGTTTACAATCAGGTGTCGCGCATGACCTAACCTACAGCGCGCTAAAGGGTTAGCGCGTTAAAGGGTTAACACCGGCCGGATCGATACAAACATCAATATCTCCGCTTCTAGACGTCGTAGAGACTTGAAACAAAAACTGCTGGAAAAGAGAAATTACCGCGTTTCCAATTGGTGTGCAATCGTCCTTCTGCGGAATAAAGATCAAATAGCGCAATCACGTAAGTACAAAAGATATTTTTTTTTGCGTTTGCGTTGAAGTGGGCATTAATCTATGTTGCAAGCTTATAGAAAATCTTAGTTTGTATCTGTGATGCGAAATATCAATTTTGTGCCTTTGATGGGCATAAAGCGCAATTTTAGAAAGAAGCAAAATGACGTCAATAGAAATTTCAGTCTGATTTAGATATATAAGGTGTCTGAGCACGCTGTTAGATTGCTCTATAAATAATGTAGAATTCATTAAACTGAACAAACTATCGCGGTACACTCAGAGAAAACATGATGATGTCAAATATACAGAGTAGACCGAGTTGAGTAACAGGATAAGTTAGATCAAAATGAGCTTTGTTGTTAGTTTTTTAATTAAAACGAAACTGTTTTATCGTACTAGTTATTTTTGGCTAGGTGACAACTACATGAGTTTTGTAGAATTATAATTTTATAATAAAGCTTTAGTAGCGGTAACAATTAGAAAAATAATTTATTAAATTATATATATATATATTAATTCTATATACACAAAACTCGTGTAATTGTCACCTACATAGTTACCATTACCATGTCTTTTTCTTTGAGTGTAGTTTGCAAAATAATTAGATTATTATTAATAAAAATAATAAGAGGATTTTTTGCTCAGTTGAACGAATTTTACTTGTATACGAGCAGTCGAACACTTAAATCCAGACATCCTATATATCCTATACACAGGCACGAAGCATCATTGTAAAATATCATTCCCTTTCGCTCGCTATCCACTTCGCATCACTTTCTTTTCTCTTTCTTCAACATGCTCTCTCGTTGCTCGGAAAGCTTCCGTAAGAGCAAATATATCTGTCATTTACGTCAACGGATTTATTATTTGGACGGTTGCTCTATTTTGCAATTTAATTCATTAGATAATATTTTCATTTCGCAGAACGTCATCCGGCTGTGAATAGCATTGTTTCTTTCCGGCGTTTTCTCTCTCTTTGGTGCGCTCCTCGTAATATTATCAGTGTTATTATACCTACACATCACGCTTACATGAAGTAATATACAGGAAGGAGTGTTACTACGCGATTGTTGATACGATTGTTCATCGATTTACAGCAAGCACTGAGTGATTAGTCCAGCGTTATCCACTGAACATTTCGCCGCGTGTATCGCCGAAGCTTACTTCGTGTCGCATTGTTGTTAGACAAGAACAAATCGTTTTCGATTGGTTTCCCGGAATACTGATGGGGCATTATTAATGGGTCAATGTGGAGATCTCGTGTCTCATCAGTGTCCGAGCTACATTACATCGATTCTCTTGCATCGATCATTGAATATCATCGGTGTTTCACTAATTGGAATCTTTAGTTAGGTACTTCATCGGAGATGTCGATATCTATTTTTACTCAGATTCAGCGTTCACGATAAATATCGATGAATGAATTCTTCATTCGTCTCGATGGTGATCGTTCTCCGAGCACTGGTTCTCCGAAAATAGTCTCCTGTAAATATTCTCAGTACACCACAAATCTGAGCGTGTCATTTTTAAACGTATAATTGAACGTGTAATTTAGGTTCTTTTTACGTTTAATTTTTTGTGCAGTTTTAAATCACGTCATATAATTTAAGAGAGAGAGAAAGAAAGAGAGAGAGACGCAAATTATAATTTGATACGGTAAAGACATGTTAAATGGTATGACTTAAAATGGTAAGAAATATATGATAAAAAAAATTCAGTCGAAATAACATGCTGATATATTTGCAGTGTAAACAACGGTCCGCTTCTTCGTGATGTAAAAAAATTAACACGTGTGAACAAAATGTTATATTTTATTAGTCATGTCGTATGAGTAGAACGACGACCAGTGACATAATTAGATAGCGCAAGCGTATCCGATATTGCCGTCATTATTTCAGCAACAATGTCGTCAGAAGTGAGAAGAATTCACCCGCGAGTGTTTGTTGATTGAATCGGTTTAATTGATTGTTATGCTGATATATTAATTATTATGTTTGATATATATATTGACACTTGTCAAGGAACATCGCGCCCTTCCATCGTAATATCCCTTATCTTTCTTTTCAATTTTTTGAACGACATTGTTTGTACCTCGTGAATTCAACTTGGCATACAGTAACATTTAGGGCAAATTATTTTACATGGAAAGAGTGCCATGAGTTTTATGTGTATTTCTTAGAAGTAATTTTTAAAAGTACGATGTGGTATGTAACTTTATATTTGCAAAATAATTAGACGGCAGGCAGATGGAGTCTCATCATTTCTGACGAAGAGGAAGCTATTGTCGCCGTTTATCACAATCAGCCTAATATATTATTATGATTAATCTAGAACTATACTTACTTCTAAATAGAGCGAGAGCCCAGCGGCTTCGTAAGTAGACGTAGAAATGAAACGAATGCATGTGCACTTGCGTCCGGCGTTTTGAAAGTATAGACGTTACGAACGAAAAGAGCCACACTCTTCAATTCCTATTCGTTAAGTAGTACGCGCTCGCGCGAACATATATATATATATATATATATATATATATATATATATATATCTCGATCAGTCGTTGCTCTGTAAATCAAACGTCATATTTTTTACATAGTAATATATTACAGTAGTGTTACGTAGTAATATTATAGGACGCACATTGTTACTACGTAAATTCGAAGGCTTACGCTAAAAGACGCAGAATTGAATGGCAAGGCTAAAATTATATTTTCGAGAATACCAGAGAGTATTTCCACTTTAAATAGAGATAAATTTACACGAGAGGGAAAGAGAGACGACGACAACGACGATTGGCTGCAGGCCCGGTCACTTTATCTTTTGATTCTAACGTTAGATTCACGATATGAGCTTAGATCGCGACGCTTCACGGCGAGGTTGCGCTTCGTCGTTTCATTTATACCACGCATCGCTATTATCATTTCACGTCAATTATTCGCGCGCGATATTCACGATATTCGTGAAAATAAATCTCAGAATCCATCACGCACGCGCGCGCGCACACATTCACGCATACATACATAAACGCACACAAACACGCAGCTACGCGTATGCAGAAAATCACGAACCTTTCTATTCAATTCTGCCGCTCGTTGGAGACACACCTTATATAGTCTTTATTATAAAACTCCATGTGAGAAAAGTCGCGTAAGCAAATCTTCATAAGGCGAGAACGTTTTATACTTGGGAAATTCCCCGTACTTTTAACTTCGAACCAAGTTAAAAAGCGTAAGGTGTATCTAGCGTGACTCGACTGTGAGGTTGCGTTTCTTTTCTTTTTTTTATTTAAAGGTGGGATTTTTGTACAGATCGCGACGGATCTGAAAGGAGGATCCATCGTGTCGTAGTTATTCGCAACGTACTCGCCTTGTTACGTTCTCAATTAACGTCCAAGTCCACCTCCATGTGAACTTAACGTACACTTAAGCCTGTATACTGAGAGAAATTATCCGATAAGTAATTACGAAACGTATATTTTCGACCAATATATCGACCAATTTTTATATCTGATTGGGAAACATCCGACGAGAAATATCGGTTCTCCATTTTTCGGTCAGTTTGTCTGGTGAAATGCCATTATGGTCGGAAGTATACGATTAAATTTAATCGGATATAAAAATTGATTAGAATCTGATCGGAAATATTCGTTTGATAAGTTTTTATCGAATAATTTCTTTCAGTGTATTAATAGTTACTACTTTTCAAACTCGTCTCAAATGAGATACTCGGATTTCAAAAAGAAAAAAGTTAAAAGCTCTGAGAGTAAAAATCAACATAAAATAGGATCTATAAGATCTAAACATAAGGTGAATGTATATAAAAAATTTTTAATTAAAAATTTTCCTCTAAATAGGGATAATTAATTAATTATCATTAATGTATTCAGATTTCAGTTAATAGTTAGATGACAGTTTATCATTTGAATCGCGACTGCAGATATAAATGTCATATGCATTATAATTCAACTTGGAAACTTGGATTTGAGTCTGAATATTAATCTGAGTATCTCATGTGGGACAAGTTCCTGATGACGACTATTAACACGGGCCTTAGGCGTCATTATATATGTACTTTGAAGACGAGCCAAGATTCTGTGCGTGTGGAAAGTTGTTCCGCTTTTATGGACAGCTATTTTCACAATATCGCTTGGAAATATACGACCGCAGAGTATTATCGTCCGCTTACGCAATGCCGTGCAGTTGCGGCGAGCATCCCTCGCGATTTCTTGTCACCTTCAGGGTGCTCTGAAGAAACTACATTGGATGACGAAACGTGAGATTTATCTCACCGACTTCTCGATTTGTTTAGACGCGTTAAAACGCGTGCACCGTACGAGTAATCGGAACCTTAGACACTCAATTCGCAATTTTCAATATTTGAGCGGATCCTCTAATTTCCGATACGTCCCTCCACTTTATCCGTTTTATTTTGTAAAATATAAGATTTTGCGATTTCGGCGTCCGCGGCATCTGGTGACTCGTATGTTTCCCCGCTGAATTATTTTTACATCGTAATTGAAAAAGAAACATCTATAGCCATGCCTTAAATATACATTCCTTGAGCGAATTTTTATCGATTTGCACATGTGTGTGTGTGTGTGTATGTGTGTCGACCGGTTTATGGTTCGACTTCCATTCTGACAGATTTGTGGCTCTCGGTACTCGTCTTCTCTCACTTTCCTGTACATTTACGCTCGTCCGAACAGAATCGCGAGTAATGTTGCGCCACTGTCGTTCGTTTGATCCTCCGGCGCTCAAAGGAAGCGTTTCGCAAAAATATTCTACGTAGAATCGCGTCTCCGCCGTCGTCAGCTAACGCTGTGATGTGCTTAGCGCCCACCGCGCGGCTGAAACTCCAGTTAACTTTATCTATCGCTTACGGAAATGAGCCGTCGGTTTTTACTCGTTAGGGGTGTCTATGAAGGTAATGATGCACGGCTCGGCTATCTCGCGAAGAGTTGCAAAAGGAAGAAGTGTCTCCTGGATACCGCCCGTCGTATTTAGATGTTGATAGGACTGAACTGGATTACGGAAATATTGGAAAAAATACGTTCTGAGTTGAATTAAGATATCATATATCATCGAAACAAAGAGAACATATAGTTCTCTATCTCTCTTATCGAGTGGAGTAATCGTCAAGCGTGTACACACAAAAAAATACATGTTGCCTTTAAGTAATAAATGTTGCTTGTTTCAAGCATTTCGTAAATTCATGTATCCATAAATTATAAATTCATCGCATAAGCATCAAATTTTGTACAAAATACATTCTAAATCTTCTTAAGTTTAGCGTGTTTCAACCAAGGATATTAAATTAAAAGACAGATTCTATTTGCTTGTTATAGAATTGAGCCAACTTTTTTCTTCTAAAGTTTTATAATATTCTTGTAAAGAAAAGAAAGTCTTTTAAATCTTTTACTCGATAATAAACTTTTCTAATATTCCCGATAAGTAATCTCAAGTTATTATCAAGAAAATATTCTTCGTCAAAGATAACTATTACTTAAAAAAGAAAAAGTGAACTTTGAGCAATCGCTTGTCTTTACAGCAGAACGATATTTTTCTATGTGTGTTGAAAAATAATATACCCGACGCACTCTTGTGAAAATCTTCCGAGGAAGTGTTTAAAAACGAAAACGAAAGTAAAAGTATGCAATCAATTGCGATATCGCATCTAGATACGCGAGTACTTGCTTGAAACATCCAGACTCGAATATCCAGGTGGAAGAAAACGCCGGTAGAGTGAGCGTGTGTGCGTGGCATATATGTATATATGTATATATGTTCATATATATATATGTATATATGTACAAGTTTCACGCATCTCGTAGCATATTTGCCGCACGGCAAAGGAATTAAATCCACTGTCAGCGAAGTCCCCGCGTACCACCGCACAGCATCCTTTTGAATGCCTGCCTGAATTCCGGCGAGAACACAGTGTAAATCACGGGGTTGAGGGTGCTGTTGAAGTATCCGAGCCACAGGAACACACTGGACACAAGATCGGGCGGCTTGCAAGCCTGGCACACGGCCTGCAGCAGCGCCGACAGGAAGAAGGGCAGCCAGCAGGCGACGAACGCGCCGGTGATGATCGCCAGGGTCTTAGCCGCCTTCCTCTCGCGCTTCGACTCGATCGTCTCGCGGGTGCGCTTCGTCGAGACCACCTGCTGCTGCTGGCTGGTGCTGGTCGGATTCGTCAGCGTCGTCGTGGTCGTTGTCGTGGACACCGCCGTCGGGGTCACCGTCGCCGACGGGGTCACGTTCGCCCCGTTGTACGACGACGACTTCTCCGGCGATATGGAGGAATGGTCCGGCGTGGATCTCGTTATGGTGAACGCCGTCGACTCTTCCCGCGGCCTACGCCAGATAAATCAGAATTATGTTGGTCAAAAGACAAAGACAGACTGTGTGACTGAGAGGATGCGTGTCACCCAGCTGGCTCGTTATTGCGGGAGTGATGAGGCGATATCAGGAATCCTCATGAAAGGTCGTCAAAAAGACGCCACGTGGGAGATCGACGTTGAATGATGAGGCGGACATGAATACACGCCGTGTGTTCACTTCTTGATAAATAGTGAGGCATGGTACTTCTAACGGTCAAATTAGCGAGACAGGAGGCAATTACAAGAAATAAGAAATGACAGGTCAGTCTGTATGTTCATGCGTATTTCTGCGGGATTTTGAATAGCGAGACGGACGAAGGACAATTTAGTTATTTTTTAACCGGCAATATGTACACAGAAGAACAATTAGTATCCAAACTAATATATGAAACTAATATATTCAAATAAACAATTATTGTTTTCATATACAAGCAACGATATATAATTTTATTGGGAGAATTTGATCTTGAATTTCAACAATATTATAATTTTACTTGAATATCGTAATATGTCTTATAAAAACTACAATATGATTATTTTGATGATAATGATATCTTCTTCCGACATTTAAAAAACATATTCTTAATCCGATATTTCCCACTCTCACAAAAGTTATTTCTGAACAATGAAAATATATTTTCTTTTGTTGCATCATATGTATAAAATATATTGATGCAAGTGACTTCGTTTAAAACGTTATGTAATCTCATTTTATCTTTAAATAAGATTCACATGTTAAAAATAAGGATATTTTCCAAATAAAAATGTTCTTTCTCTGTGTACAATACTCTTTGTCGGAAATTATTTGTGAGAAAACATGCATAAATACGCATGAAACTATAGACTGATCTCACAATAAGAACAACAGTTTATAACGATAATGAGAGAAATGACAGGAACATGAGCATCTTGGCACAATGCATTCGAATAATAGCCACCTTGCGCGATGATGAAAATTACTTTTCAGTAACAAGATAATCATAAAATAGAGACAACACAGAAATGCAAAGATACAGCTTAAGAATGCGAGATCAGTCAGACTTGTTCTAAAGCAGATAACTCTAACAGCGTTAGGACAGCATTAAGCGAACAATCGAACACTTGTCGTAATTGAACGAGAAAGAAAAGAACAATCTGCGGCAATAAGTATGTAAGTTCGTATAATATTAAGCGTTGTCTATTTCAGAGACAAAGAAGGTATGCAATTATCAAGTAGCGACGAGATCTTTCTTGCGGCACAGAACGATCAACGGGTAAATTCATACCTTGCTTTTCGCAGCGAAGACCTGCACTACATATCCATTGAGATAAAAACAGCCAGAGCAACAGCATGCTAAGCCACTCGAGATAAAATATCGCTAGCGCTCAGGATATTTATTTACCCGCTAAATTATGCAGTACAGTGCCAAAGAATCCCGCGCGCTCTCTGGACGCGGGTATAAAGAAGAAGGCTATGTCTCATGAACGATTTACGTCATTTCTCAGCCGCTCTCGCCGTCGCGAGATTTACTCCAAGTGGCTTAGTGCGTTATCGCCCTTCGCGCCCTTCAAGTTTATTGCAACCGTGAACACGTTCGATTATTGTTCGAGACGCAATTTAGAGAGAAAAAGAGAGGGAGGAAAAGAGCCTTGTGACGTAAAGTACCGAGGAACAAAGAAACTACAACCTTCTCGTGACGAGCCTGAGGATGCCCCTTCGTTCGCGCGGAGGCTGAAGGATGGTGCCGGGTCTCCTCCTGATTCTGCTTCGCGCCGCTTGGAATATCCTCCAGTACAGAATTAAGATGACGAAAAGCGGCACATAAAATGTCGCGCAAGTTGCGAAGATCTGTAAGGTAATTTACATGCTTTCCTTCAAAATGTTGCGCGTGATGATCGACTCGCTCGAGCGTTTTGCGCAGCGAATTTTACGGAGAAAAATATAAAGGCAAAAAATTCGTCTTTATAGACATTCTATATTTCTAGCTTGTTACTCGGCAGATCAAAAAATAAAATAGGCCAAAGTTAAAATCAGGAAGAAATTGTCTCGCAAATCGGATTATTCATATTGGAGCGGAGCGCGGACATTAATAAGATTTATTGTCAAATAATAGATTCACGGGCGAGAAAAAAGATTTTGGCCGTTCGATACGTCGTCTATTTTAAGAATATATTGTTCGTATGTCATTGCAAAAAGTCACTGAAAATTAAAAATACGCTAATATTTCTTTTACATATGAAAACGTATGATACATATGTACTAACAACATTTTTATTTCAGCTAATCTTTTAGATTACATCACATTTTTATAATTTATATATTTTATTTTCTACTATTTCTGACTTAAACTTTTCTATTTTTAAACCACAATGAAACTTTACATATATTATTTTGAATACTTAAAGTACACGCATACAAAAATTGAAATTTTTGTAATTTCTTCTTAAATTATATTATATTTTCCCTTATTAAAGATAGCAACATCGCCATAGTATTATATTTCCATAACAGCACAGCTTAAAATACTCCCAAGTAGCAGGATGACGTATTAATGACGTATTATAGGCGTTGGAGACGCCATTAATGCGTCATTTGACGTCATCATGTTTGTTGGGCTTCAAAGTAAAGCTTCTGAAATGTCAAATTATCTGTGATCACATTTAGATGCAATATAGATTAATTTACAGTTTTTCCAAGATATTTTTATTATTTTTGAGATACGGACAATACACTCTTAACAGACTTCCGATCAGCTACTTTGTATAAGAACGGCAGTTCTTTCGCAGCGACGGGAGAGCGACGGGATCCGGTTGTGATTCGACCACGTACTTCAGAATGGCTGAAAATTCGGCTGCTCGGAATCGCCAACACTTTCCCGACTAATCCCGTGGCGAATCCGCGAGGGCGCAATTTCCAATCGCGAATAACTGTGCATTTCGGATCTCGTTCTCTCAATTGTGTGCCGCGAAAGCGCTCACCTGATATGCAGTATCCTGCGATATGATACACGTCCCTTCGGCTATTCGGTCCAAATAATCAGGATCCTTCCATCCAAGCTGGGGCGCTAATGAGATTCCTAAGGACACTACCCACACAGTGCCGATCAGGATGCCGATTCTTCTCGGATTCCTCGCCTTAAAATGGAAAAGCCGGCTTTAACGACGTTACCGTCGGCTCACCGCTTCCAACCGCCGTTCGTTTTCCCTCCTCTATCGCGTTACAGTTATCGCCGGGCGATGCAATTTTTATCCGCTTTTTTTCGCGCGCGAGCGCGTGTACGTTCCCGTTGCGATGCAAATGTCCCGTCTCGTTATGAGTTCTCGTGCAGCTACATCTCGAATTCATAATAAATCGCAAGAAATTACATTAAACCAAGATGGCGGCTGAAGTCGCTGGGGCATTTTACTGTTCCCGATAAATTTTACGTCTCCCGCGGGGCCACGAGAGCTCGCGCGCATTACCAAGAACGCTGTCTTGTATCAGAAAATTAAACTTTTAATTAGATGCGCTCGTAAAGGCCGCTTGCGCTTTTTTCCTTCAAGATCGCGTCCAAGACTATTCGACCGAGGGAATTGCGAAGCCTGCTCTATCTGCGGATCTATCCTCAGCGGACTCGCATGACTCACTAATTTCTCTCGTCCGCTCGATTATTTATAACGTAATCGACCCATCACTCTGGGGACCGCGGGTGGCTCTTTCTGTCAGTTAGGAGATGCAAAGCTAACCGTTAAGTTCGACCGGCCGAAGCGCGAGCTTATCGAGGCGGCTCTAAGCTAATTTCGAACAAACTTTAAGCCGCTCGGAGAGATAGGAAGGGCACGTCGTGTTACATACTCGTCTCGTCTCTTTGGTCAGACTATATTTACAAACGGGGAAGTTCAGGCGGTAAGGCGAAACCGTCTTACCCTTTTTCATACTTCATGAGCGGCGTTACCCGCATAATTCTTGTTAAACCGCAGCGCGTGCGTTTTGCGGCGAAAAAGGGGCGAATTCGCCGGCGCGCCATTTTTCGCGGAAATTTACGAATGATTTTATGACTTTGTTATTCCACGGTAAAAGTGTTTGATCCGAGTATGAATATCGTGGGAGAATTTAATTTCGGATAAAAAAATTGCCGACTTCCGGCCTCGACATGTGTGCGGAACGAGTAATTCTCGTACATTTTGGTTTCAGGCCGAGAAACAAGATCGGACACACGCGGCGGTGAGTGCTCTCCAAAAGGAAAAAGAAAAACAAAGGAGGAAAAAGTATTTCCGCAAATGGACAGAGAATACGCATCGGTTGTCCTTTCTCTTTCGCTCTTTCGAAGGAATCACTCGCGGGGAAATTCGCCGAGTGCAACGGCAGCGTAACGTTCGGGCCGCGGAAAATTGTTATACAGCCGCGAGAGAGGCCGGCGACGACGCGTCTCGTCCGCCGGCACCGGGGTTCCATCCGGATTTCACGTGAGCCATTTTCGGATTGATAAAACAGTATTTCCCCGACGCGTCACGCTGGTCTTCCGGCTATTATTCAAGGAGATCTACGACACGACATGCAGTGCACCGGCGATCTCGCTCGCGTCCGGCTCCCCTTTCCTCATTTTTGTCGGCCTGGAGCGAGGCGTGAAGGGTGCGGGGCGGGTGACGAGAGAAGACTGCATCGCCCGGCATCGTTCTGGACGATCTTCCTACTTCCTCTCAATAACCGCAACGGCGTTAATTAACCTGTATATAATTGATATCGGTGACTGCCCAATATCTGTCGACCGCGATAGCCACCAGATGCAATATCGAGGCTGTGCAACATAGAACGTCGCTGCTGGTCCACATGTCGCAGAGTTCCGGCCCGAGTGACCATCCCGACTTTATCTGCAATAAACAGAATTATCTGTCATGAAGCGTGCCTAACGCGGACGGCATGAGATCGATGCGGCTATGAGCGTAATCTTGCGCACCCTCAAATGCCTAGGGATATGCAGGATAGATGGACACTTATGGACGGAGTGAGTCTATGGTGGAGTATTGCCCTCTATTCCCTTATTGTACACGAAAGGAATATTGTAGTGAAAATTGCGTCAAAATTATATTTCTTCTTACGGTGTTTTCTAAAGCTTTTTAAAGCTGGATTGTACTGAATTTGTAACATAAATTACTACAGCAATAGCAAATTTGACAACCTATCTGCTATGGTTGCTACATACAAATATGTACAAATATGTGCGACAGGCAACAAAAAAAGCTTGTATATACTGAAGGAAAAATTACCTTAAAATCAACAAATATTTCTTTGATGGGTGCGATTAACATATTTATTTAAATATAAGTTCTTTTTATTTAAATCAAATATTGTTTACCTGATTTAAGTAAACAGTATTTGGTTTAAATAAAGAGAATTTAAATTTAAACAAATATGTTAATGGCATCCATCAAAGAAATATTTGTTGATTTTAAGATAATTTTTCCTTCAGTGTACCATTTCCAGAATACTATAGTCTCCGCAATCCTTTTTATGTATGACTGAAAAATAACATTAATATTTTGTTATGACAACCTTATATTTAGGCAAGTGATATCCTTAGTGTTTTCTTTGTGTAAAAAGTAGTAAATTTGACAATTCATCTGATATACGATACGAAGGAAACACTCAAGTAATTACAATAATTTTTTAATAAAAAGTCAAACAAAAGTTCGACAAAGTCATTTTTAAATAAATAGATCACAATTTCGGTCATAATTCTGTATGGTCTTAGATTACAAAATTTTTGTTGTAATTTTTACTATACATATATTACTACATATACTTTCTCCGTGTACGAACACGAAGATATAACATCAGTATATTATTTAAAAATTCGAGTCATAGTTGTCTCTTTTTATCACTCGGTAGTTATCATATAATTAGCAAATGACAAAGTCCAATGAACGATTTTCTTGAACGAAAAAAAGTGCATAAGTCTGTGCATAATTGTGTAATATTTCCTTGATGCGCCAACTTCACTGCGCTCGTTACCTTTTCCATCGAGATGTATATCTGATATTTACATGATTCCTCTCGAAAGTATCACTCTCCGTTCGGTAATCGATACAACATCCTCAAGAAAATATACAGAAATAGTCTGTGTGCGCAGTAAGCGCACGATGACGTGAAACGTCAAATTGTCGAGTAAATAAGATTTATTTTTATCCGCGTTGACGGGGGTTGCTCGGCTGATTAGTATGTTAAGGATTGCACATAGTTTGGCGCGACGGTCTCCGCGGAGTAGCAAGGGAGTAACACGGCAGAATACGGATCGAGAGAGAGAGAGAGGTCGAAAGGGAAAACATCCCAGCCAAGTGATGGTCGAGGGACGATGCGAGGGGTGCAACGAGGTGGAGGGAATGAGAGAGAAAGAGAAAGAGAGAGAGAAACTAGGGAGTCGGTAAGAGTGATGTTGTAGAAGTCGGCGAGGGTGGAGGAGGGACTGATGCATGCCTGCTTAAAAGTCCATTCATGGTATTGGAATCTATCGTCGAAAGCCAATCGTCCTTTGTCCTCCTTTCAGCGCGCCGACACCCTCGCCATAGACATCCGTTCCTTTATACTTTGAGATCAGAACGTTCCGGAAGTTGATAAGTCGCGTCTATTTCGCGGAAAATATAAGCATCTCTCAAAAGTAATGCCAATTGCGCGAACTTCGGTGGCAGAACGGTTTCAACATTCTCGGTACTCGCTCGGGAGTGATTCGTGATAAGAGATAAGAGTGTTAGTATCGCTTGCGTCGCACACCGTCCGCCTGACCGATTCTCCCGCGTTCTTTCGCGAAATCAAGAGCAACACGAATTGTACTGTTAACTATGGAAACGGAAAGGTGTATTTCCTGAAATGTTGCAGCAAAACTTTGACGCTTTGAGCGTAAGCGTTACGTTATATGATAACTAAGTTATATGATAACTACCGTTAAGTTATATGATAACTTCCGAGTGATAAAAAGAGACAGCTACGACTTGAATTTTTAAATAGTGTACTGATGTTATATCTTCGCGTTCGTACATGAAGAAAATGTATATAGTAATATATGTATAGTAAAAATTATAACAAAATTTTTTTAACCTAAGGCCATACAGAATTATAACCAAAATTGTAATTTATTTATTTAAAAATGACTTTGTTGAACTTTTCTTTGACTTTTTATTAAAAAAATATTGTAATTACTTGAGTGTTTCCTTCGTATCGTATATCAGATGAATTGTCAAATTTACTACTTTTAAGCGTGCACACTCTGTGTCTGTTACGTATAAAATTATTAACTATGCTATCTGGAGATTAATATACATTATATATTATCTATATATTATCTATATATTCATATTAAATTCTATAAAGCATTCTGGTCATATATCTCGTATTTCGATAGATTTCAGCTCAAATATTTATGTTTCAATCAAAACGTGCACAAATTAAAGAAAATAATCAAAGAGACACATTAAAGAATAATAATTTTGGATGTACATCGTTAACGATTGCACGCACACACAGAAAAATGTCATTTTAAAGGAAATAATTGTTCAATTTTTTTCTTTTATCTTTAACAAACGATACTTTTTTGACAATTTAACTTTTTAAACTTAAAAATCAAAAGTTAATTATTCCAAAATATCTTTTCTACTTTGAGATTTGTTGGTTCGTAAAAATTGTTTGTAAAATAGCGATAGGTGATAATATGAAATAAGTTCATATCTCCACATCTTATACAATGAGTGTGTTGTTTTTATTTGCGGCTTCTGTTCGTAAACCTAGAAAACTTTTACATAATTTAAATTATTGAGCTTAATTTCTTCAATTTTCATAACATTTTTTTATTTTCAATTTATAATTTTTAGGAATTTAATAAAAAGGAATTCAATAAAAAAAAGTAGTTTTAATACTAGCAACTTTATAATAACAAAAACTTTATAATAACAATTTTCTTTTTATTTTCATGCCTGTTTTATATTATCATTTCATATTATCATCTCATTTTCATGCAATTGCACTTAATATTGACTTTTTTGTATTGAGCAAAAAGTGACCCATATTTCTCCGCTAAGCAAATCAAATTTCTGTTTTAATTTAATATTAATATTCTTGATTGAACTGTTAAGTTCACTAGAATTCAGAATATATATCATTGAATCAATCTGATATATACTTACGATGAACTTATGATAGATTTGGGAATATGTAAACTTACGAGATACTTAAAAACAAATGACATTTACTTGAATGCAGTATAGGTCTTTCTGTGTACAGTCTCCGAATCGTAAGTGTAAATCGAGGCTGCGAAAGGAGAAACACGCGAGATGCGCAGTTTCTCACGTCTCCTAATCGTTTTATAACCGAAATCGGTGCGATCAATTATTAACAACACGGGCGCGTTTCGTCAGGTGTTCCTCGACGAGAACCCTCCCTCCTATCGTTGCGCATCTTTAATCGAGCGGGTCGCGTGTGCACGCGCGGTTAATGAAGTCGTTCGCGTGAGGCGTTTCTGGTGTCCGCCGATAAACGCCCGGGCGAAACAGGCGGTTGTGAAGCGGACATCCATCAAATGTTCGGTGCTGCGGGCTGCGATCAAACGGCAGACGTATAAATTTCTATGTGTCCGTTAAGGCGATGGACGAGCGCGATTCTCGCTCGGCGATTTAGTATACTCGGCGGTAAAAATCGCTAATGCGTCTGCTGCCGCTTGAATGGCGGCCAAAATAGAATTGCACCATTAAGCGGTAACGCGCAGGAAGATATCGACAACGGGCGAAGGAAGACAGGCTTAAAGGAGCAAGCCAAAGGACGCGCGCACGCCCGAGAAAGAGAGAGAGAGAGAGACTGAAGCAAAAAGAGTGAAAGGAAGGTGAAGGGGCGAACCATCCCACGCTGAAAACGTCCGTGAAAAGCGAGAAGAAGGAAACCCAGGTGCGCCTGTGAGCTGATATAACGGGAGTGCGGAAATATAATATGAAGAAAAAGTAGGATGAGACGAGAAAAAGTGCTGAGATGGGATACGTATAGGGGAAAAGCTAGCCGATGGCGAGACGCGAGAGGCTGCGTTAAGAAAACGAGGGATCTAAATAAGGATATACGCTGGCATAAAGATTTCTCGGAGGAGAAAAAGAGCGAGACAAGGGGAAAGAGAGAAGATAGAAAAAGGAGAAGAGCGCCGGCGATAACCGTTAATACGTGTAATTAAATTAGACTTGTCCCACGCGAGAAAGCGCAAGCTTTCTCACGTCCTTCTACTCTCTTAAAGTGATTCAGTAAAAATGTTCCCGACTGAATCAGTAAAAGGACTATTGCATCTATTATTTCAGTGAATATTCACTGATTTTCAGTGAGAAACACGCTTGCTTTACTGCTCCGTCTCATTTCTCACTGATTTCCTCTATGGAGGAAAGATTTCAATACAAAATCTACAATTTGCAAGATATGAAATATACAAATCCGTTATACTAAATCTAAATTTTTGCATTTATGACGATGGAAGTAACGGCTTGCATGCACCTTGAGTGCAATGACACCGTCTGTGTTTGCAGAGTGCATCAGTAATGAGAATAGTCGTTACTTACTATCAGTTGATCATTTCAACGAGATTTTACTGATTGCAATGCTATACTTACAGCCGAACCGCCAGTTACAAGTACAGCATTTCAACGAATAATACATTGATCATACTTTAGAGAGTATTTTTTTTTAACGTCGAGTACGAGTCGAATATAATCGAACAAGTCTCATATAAATTTTCACGACCATACGAATTTCCGCGTCATATCGTGCCTCGAAAGCGAGCGCGTTCAAGAATAAGTAAGTTCATTAAGTGTTAATTTGATAAAGTCGCAACGCCATACGCCATACGCCTAGGCAGTTGAGGCCGATGTTACTCCCGTACGTGTTATCGTTCCCGGTTGTTTACTGACGCCTATTAAGTATAAATACGCGGCTCGGTTCGCAGACGCGTGCACCGGAATCGAAAGCTAATCATTCGTGCTGTGTGCATATCGCTACAATGCTCCCGTTATCTCTGTGTGTACTCGCTTCTTAATTGAATATGTATATATGTCTAACAACGCTATACTCTTCGGTGGCGTCGCGTCACGTTTACACCGAGTACATGGAAAGAGATATCCCGGAATATATAGAAAATTCCGGTCTGGCTTTTATAAAGGTTGCAGATTGCGATCGTGACATTACGGCACTATCGGTTCTATGCTGCTAAGATCGTGACATTTTCGTTTTCTCGTTCTACACTGTCGTGCAAAATACCAACGACCCAGATAAAATTCTAAAGCCGACGACAAAGTGTACATTAAAGTCCCGCATAAATTTCCGCGCGAAATTCTAGAACGTACACGTTGAATATTTATGCAACGCGTCACGTACACGATGAATCGCGTTACGCCGCGAATTGTCTCGTCGTGATCGCGTCACGCGCCGCCGATTATTTTAGAAATTTCGCTTCCGGCAATTGGCGCGAATCAAGTTTCCCGCGCTTGTGTAAATCATTGTCGGACTCGCGCCCGGAGTGCGCGTACTTTTCGTAACTTTTCGCGGCCGCGCGCGGCTGGAATTCCGCGTGAAAATTCGCGTAGCGCGAGTGCGATAAATCGCCGGCGGTTGATGCGCCGTGCTTGGCACCGGCTTTCGTTCGCCGTCGTCGACGTAAGACGCATAATTAGCAAACTTTCCCGGCCGGGAATTTAGCGTTTAAACGTCGAATCCCCCGGGGAAGGCGAGCGCCGCTTCTTCTCGATGCGAATGTTGGCGTGAAGTCGCGGTAAAAACGGCTAGGAACTCGCGTACGCATACCGCCGCGGCTTCTTATAGGTGTCATAAATCCGTGAATGGCTGCAACGGAGCATGGAGTAAAGTCTAACAATGAGGGTGCAACGCGAAAGATGCTCGTCAAAGGAGAACGACGTTCCACGAGCGAAGAGAATAACTCGTCCGCACCTCTGTCGAAAATCCTGCGAAATTTTATTCCCTTCGATGAGACTTACCGCCGAGAGATGTGATCTTGCATTACGTTCTACATTAATATAAATATTTTCTCTTCATTTGATTACAACGCACGTTTCAACGAGAAGGTATATAGTTTGAGGTTGTCGCGTTTATTCAAAATAGTATATTGCAAACTTGATAGCGTGTTATTTTGGCTGAACTTCTTTTCATATATTTCTTAATTCTTAGTTTCTTCGTTTCCAGTCACGTCAGTTAACACGTTCAAATTATTAAATCATAATTTACATAGCTTAAACGTGTTAAATGATGTAACTTAATACGTAAGAAACGTATGAAAAGAGCTTCAGCCGAATTACACGCTCATACGTTTAAAAATAACACCCTCGGATTTGCAGTGTATAGTTGTGTCATGTCATATTCCCTTCGACTAGTGTGATGGTTTATACATGGAGAAATTATACATATATAATTAATAATATAATAATAATACATATAATAATAATATACACTAATACTAATGTATAATATTAATATTAACATTAATACTAATATTATGTATTTAATTTATTTATTACTTAATATTATATTTAATATTATATGATTATATTATTTAATATTAACATTAATTATAATTAATTAATATTAATACTAATATATTAATATTAGTTTTTTATGTGAATTTTTTCAATTTTACTCTATTTTTCTAGTAGTGTGTGTGTGTATAGAAATAAAGACTGTAAGGTATATCTTGCCAAGGAATATAATACATTTTTTAATAACATATTTCAATTCCTAAAATATATATAAATAGCGTAATTAGAATAAAACGATAAATTATTGCAGAACATCGATGTATGTCTCGATTACAAAATTCTATGTAAGTGAGCTTATGTACGTAATATTTATCATAAAATTCTTTCCGTATAGAGAATATACGTTCTTAAAATTTAATTGAATATTTTATAATAATTACATTCTGTGTAGTGTTCGTACGCTGTGAGAGTAACATAGTCGTGCAATTTTATACTCGGTAAATCAATAAATTCCCTCTTGTTTCTAAAAGACTAAATTTATTATTTGCATTGAGAATGTCGCGAAATCTTTAATTCGGAAGAAAATTAAAATTTACAACTCCATTTAACATTAATAATAATCATTAAAATAATAATCATAAAGTAGTATAAATATTCTTTTTGATTTTTCTACATTGCTTTATCGACGAGATGAATATTTCAGAGTTGCCGTGTTAATTTGAAATAAAATCATATCAGTTTACCTTTTCTCTTATCGGTAAAATGGGTTTATGAAATATATATTTTCGAAAGTTAATTAATCTTGCATTTTATAATAATTATATTCGTTATTGTTACCGCGTAACAATAACGTGTTCGTACGCTCGAGAGTAATGAAATCGTGTGATTTTGTATTCAGTAAAACGTCGAATAAATTTCAATTCGTTAAAGAAAAAGTGAAGCTTATTATCTATTGTAACTTTGTATTATTACCATTAATATTTAAACTGAAAGTTTTGCGAAATATTTATTCGACAAAATTTAAACCGGCACATTCTGTCTTATATTTTACTTCATAATAATTATTATTAAGTACGATAATTGATTAATTTATATTATAATTTATTATATATTAATTATATAATTAATTGATATAAGTATATATAATAAATATTTTTCTCATTTCGCTACACTGAGAGAAAGAAAGCATCCAAAAAATATTTATTTGGTGGCTATTAATATCGTCTTATACTAATATAAAATATTTTCTAAATAAGAAAGTATACACACTTTGTTAAGATTACGAAATTTTTTATTAAAAACAATTATTTATCTTATTTGTATAAAAAAATTTAGATTTGAAAGTAAATATTGCAAACATTATAGATCTCCATTCCAAAGATGTTCTGAGAACGTCTGTAGAACGTCCCTCGAACCCTGGAGATCTTGTACTGTCTGAGATGATATTAATAATAATCATTAAAATATTATTTTATTAATAACATATTTCTTTATACTAATATAAAATATTTTCTAAATAAATATTTTCTAAATATACATTTCCCTAAGATCTCTCTTAGCTTTCCATGAAAGCAATTGTTTATTCTATTTGAATAAAAGAATCTAGATTTAGTAGTAAATATGTTATTATATATGTAATACAATGAATAAGTATTTTTTATTTTTTAGATATTTTTCCTTTCACTGTGCAGTGCGTTTTACCGGAGAGATACATAATTTAAAGTTGTAGCGTTAATTCAAAGTTATGCCTAGTTATGCCAACTTGGTTTTCCCTTTACTAATGTAGTGATTTACAGAATGTATATATCTAAAACAATAACTTAATTTTGCATTTTATGACAATTATATGGTGGGGGATATATTTTGTATTTTCGATACTCTGCTGAGATCGATATAGTATTCGGGAGATGTGTTGATATTGTTTTTACGTAATCGGGCCGATTTCTAGCGGAGAGAATAGAGACGCTGTCGTAAGGTCAAGACGGACGCGTCGCTACACGCATTCCTTTGTGATAGCGCGTAGCCGACGGACGCTCGAGAGTCGCGTGGCGCGTAATATTACACGCTCGGCAAATCGTCCAGTAAATTCGCCCACAGTTTCTAAAGCGTTTACTCGACTTTCTTGCTATTCGGGCTGTCCATCGTAATAGACATCGTGTCTCTTCTACCAAACAATAACTTCTCGCAATTCTCACGTGATATTATCGCACGTTCCAGTGATAATTATCGATAAATCCGAACACAGCATTGCCATTGAGACACAAACTGACGATCACGGTCGTTGTCACGAGTGAATTTTGTAAAATAAGAGTACGTACGAGTTTTGTCGTACATCCAGCTTTATAACCTCCTCAACAATACTTGTAGTCAGCTCGCGTTAGACATACAGAATCGAGTCGCTGCAAACAGCAGTGCAATTTTCTCAAGAAGATAGACAAGATAACAGCTTATTGTTTCGTGTTTGTGCAATAAATACCTCTCACGATCAATCGCATTTGTACGGAAAGAACGCAAAGGCGCAGCGAACTCTTTCGTCTCGTTCGACATGTCACTTGCACGCAAATCGCGCCAATTTCGTGGTGTAATTAGAAACTTCATCGTTGTGTCACGTAGGCAACGCCACCTCCTAATTTATCGACGCGGAGGCGCGAGTCGTCCTTTTCCCAAAATGGCGCGGATTCGTACGGACGTGTTGCGGAGCGCAGCAATATTTACGTTTCTGCTCATGACTTCGTCGCAGCTGCAATCTTTGATTCGCGGTGCTCACTGATTACATGGTAAGAATTTGCGTTTCTTGATACAGTTAGTGATTTACGTACCTCGTAAAGAGCTCCGAAAGGCATTACAAGGCAGGCGACCATGAGATCCGCGACGGCCAAACTGACGATCAAGTAGTTCGCCACGGACTGCAAATTTCGTTCTAACACGATAGCCGCTATCACGAACAGGTTCCCTGCAACAAGAATATATGCTGTCGTGAGAGTGGTTTCGTAATTAATACGACGGTAATAATATCTTAGGTTGACTTTCGGGACACGGTCTTCTGTAGATTTACATGTAAACAATGACACGGCGCGACAAGTGCCGTTGAGCGACAGAGAAGAGTAGCGCCTTGGCTCTCATTCAATGGGCTCTCGTAGTTGGTGATATTTCGAAATATAGTCCCGAGTGACGCTTCTGTATTTACGCGCCGGGCATGTCACTCGCAAACACGTCAATTTTCTTTCATAGCCAATTCACTTGCATTATCGAAATATCAATCGAACGCTCCGTTCATAGTCCGTCGAATGTGTCGTCGCATAGTTTCGTATTATTTCGCGAATATAATCGCGAAACGTGAGTATATCGCCAGTGTCCTCGATAGGAAGACAAATCAGAGGATTGCTATGACGAAATGTTGCATATCGAGAGAGCCGACTGACACCCATTTATGAGGATAATCTACGATGCCGAAGGGCAACGTCGAAGGGCAACGTCGAAAGACGACGCCGAAGGACCGGACTACGATACCAGGCTACGATATCGGTCGACGATGATAGTCTACGTCGCTGTTCTTCGATTCGTTTCTGGTGAGTAATATTATTTAATATATGATATATTCGACAGCGTTGAATTTGTCCGACAGAAAAGCCAAAATTTTCTCTTCCTCAAATTTTATATTTAGCAACAATCAATGCCTGAGTCGAAATTCAAAAATCACTGTATGTCTTGTAAATATTGATTTGTGTTTCCACAAAGAGAGAATTATATAGTAAAAATTACCATAGCATTCTACTGCCAAGGAATAAATCGACATTCTGCAATAGTTTAATTGTCATTTCATATATATGCATTCAAAAAAATATAATTTTATTCTCAGAAGTTATCTTTTTTATATACAGGAGTAAGTTAATAACTATTATCATCTGGAACGTGGTGATTTTAACATTTTTAAAACTATTTTTTACAGGAAAAAGCGTAACTACCATAAAGAGTTTTTTTCTAAGTAGAATAGTTTTGAAAATGTGAAGATCGCTTATTTATGTATATATTTATTACTTAGCTAAAAAGGGACTTGGTTTATAAAAATCTCCTTATCCATACTCATCCTTCTACACCTCTCACTATTGTTTTTATGTACACTTAATATTTTTATCTTAATGTCACAAATTTTATTCGAACTCTGTCCTATTATAACATAAAATATCTCTTCATTCCGTAATTTATTCTATATTATATACATATCATATTCTTCTTACTATCTTAATCTATTTTAACTATGATATATAATTATTTAAATTTACCATTATACATTTCCTAATCATTTTTCTCTCTAATCTGTATCGATCTGCATCCTATATCAACATCTTCTTACACATCTTCTTCACATCTACAATTCTCTTTTTCTTTCTTCTCTTTAATTTTTTTAATGTCTTATCTCTTTTTTTCAAATCTTACATAAAATGTTACTTTTTATCTCGTCTAATTCATCTAACTCATCATCTTAAATCTTGTGAAGATTTTACTTTTGTTCCTTGCTTTGAAGATACTCAAGGTAACAGTTATTGATTCACTCTGTATATGATCTCAAGAGGACCCTTCTAAAATTAAAAGAGGAAAATATTCTAAGCACAATATTCTTACAATTTTCTTACAATATTCTTACAATTAGAGGAATTTCGTCTTTTATCTACAGTACCAATCTTGTTCTTAATAGAAATTTTTTCTGATAAAAGGACATTCTGTTTCAAGTAAACATATTCTTCTTGTATCAAAAGAAATATGTTTATTTGAAACAATAAAAGTATATGTATATATAATCATTATTTTGTTATCATATATTATTTTACAATAATATATAGTAAATATATGAAGTTGGAAGAAGATCGATAATATAATATAGGACAACATATAGTATAGAATAAACATTTTCCTGTTCTGCAATCTTATCATTATTTTATTTTTTAGGGATGAATTATGATAAAATATGGAAATTTAAAAGGCACAAAGAAAAGACACAAAGGTGCTAGGTATAAAAAGATATAATGGTGCTAGGTATTATTTTAACAAAAAATTGGAATAATATCTAACAGATTTCCGCTTAATAATTTACTTTAATAGAAGAGGAATACTCCAGCGGTAAGAATTGTTGCTTAAAATGTGGGTTTACAGGAAATAGCACCTTGCATTTAGGTTTTTTCTTTTGAATGTTAGAATAATTTCTTTCTAGTTTTAGAGGAATCTTCTTGAAACCATATACGAAGAAAATATTGTAGTAAAAATTACAATGCAATTTTAGTAATCCGGGAATAGACTGGCGTTATTACAACAATTATAATAAAACATAATAAATATGACCATAGACATGATAATTCTTATTACATTTATGGTCATTTTTACTGTTTTATTATAATTTTTGTAATAGTGCCAGTTTATTCCTGAACTACTAAAATTGCATTGTATTTTTATTACAATATTTTCTCCGTATAAAAGAATATCCCCCTGAAAATGAGATTATATTTTTTTGGGCCTACTATTTATATTTTAGAAATTGAAATGTGCCTTATATTCCTTAGCACGATAGACTTTACTGACAGTATATTCACTACTAGGAACTTGATAAAATCGATAATAATTTTATGAAAAAAGCTATAATATCCTTTTCATGTAATAATATTTTTTAGATTGCGAGTCAACATTTTTCTTTTTATATCTGTTTTTTTTTATATTTATAGTTTCTCAACTATTTTAAATCTCCAAATTTTATCATATTCACCCCTAAAAAATAAAATAATAAAAATATTACAGGATAAGGAAATATCTGTTATCCTATTATATTGATCTTTTTTCAACTTCGTATATTAATCATATATTATCGTATATACCATTTGATAATGACTACATATATCATGTAATATTTATTATACTTTAAACTCGATAAGATTTCCATAATCAAAGAAAAATTAAAACTCGGGTGTAGAGTATCAAATAGAATTTCTGTCAGTCTGCCGGGAATAGCGAGACAAGATTAAAAGTACAAATGCGCGACAGGCAATTTTTAAACACGTTTTTAAAATTCAAGCGAAATTACACGATTTTATCATTGTTATTATCGTCGCGAGACGCACACGTGGAGATGCGCATAGATTATGACGTCGTTAAACAAATTGAGATCGACTCGGCGAGTGTTCGCGACTCTTTGATAATGGACCTGTAATTGGCGCTGCAAGGGGCAAATTCGAGCTAGTCGCCATCAATTCGCGCGCGGGCTTGAATAGCGGCAATCAGTTCGGCAAACTCGGATAGATGAAATCAGTCGTACGTTCCTTCGACGTCCCGGGCGTGCGACGCTACGCAATGCGCGCAACGTAACGAGACGACACTCACACGTACACGGCTCGATCGTGACGTGCGCATTTACGAAATTTCGTTCAAGTACACCGTCGACGACGGCTTCTCGCGCTCCTCTCGGGACAATACGACGCCGTTGCGCGAGGACTGAGTGCCTCGAGCGATCGAGTGTATGTATGTATGTGTGTGTGTGTGTGTGTGTGTGTGTGTGTGTGTGTGTGTGTGTGTGTATATGCGGGTCAGTCGATGGAAAACTGCAGGCAAGAAAACGTCCCGGGCTTGTCGGACCGGCCCCTTGAAAAATTTCTCCCTTGAGGCAAGAACGGGTCAGACGAATAAATACAGAGTCGTGCGAAGAACCGGGGTGTTTCCACGTTGATAGGGCTTTCCACGTCGTGAGGGAAACTCTATTTTCGGACGCGTGTCGCGTATAATCCTCGAATTTCGTTTAGCGTTTAAGCGACGGCCGATGTATCCTGTCGGATATAAGCGACATTATCTTCTCGGATACAATAATCGTGCGCGAGCACATCGTATTCGCGAACGTTAACTCTTGCCAGTTAATTCTCGCGAACGCTTTCCATCACAACGAGGCAAGAGGTTGATCCAATATTCGTGACGTTTAACTCCGGATTAAACAAAGCTACGTCGTTACGTAGTAACAAAAGGCGCGATCTTTTTCGACACGATGGCGGCACTTAATCAAATTTTGGACAGAACCGCGAGGGGCGACATAATCAGGTAATCAGAATTTTCGGGTTTGTACGGCTCCCTTGTGGAAGGAATTCATGTATTAGTGACGTGATGTTACGTTCATGCATTACGTAACGTGCTCGACTGCCGCCGGTTTAAGCGTGTTTAAGGGAAGTGGAGGAGCTCGAGCTCTACCGTGCACCAGGTTTGCTAGGATATTACATCGCGCTGATGTACGCGCTCCTCTGCGCTCCGCGGTACTTCATGTTCCTCATTTCGCCCGGATGGCCAATGTTCCCTCCGATTTTTCGTGTAGAGCACACGAAAGAAATTCGCTATACGCCATTCTCGTCTCTCTTTCGCCTTTTTCTCTCCTCTGCGCGAATGCAGCTACCTATTTTGCAGCATGACGATGATAAGAGATAACGCTGTATCTTCGGATAACAGCAGAATTATACAGACAGTTCAAGTAGACAATCCTACATATTCGTAAAGGAATGTTCATTATAGTTATTGCACTCGACAAAAATGAATATGTATTATACTGAAGTAATCGGATAAGATGGGAAAGATAATGCGCTGAGAAAAGAATGTCTGGCACTTGTCACCATAATCGCATAGTAAAATTATATTCATACTGAGAGCAAAATATCTAAAAAATAAAGAATATTAATTTGATAGGTACTAGTAACACACATGTATTTGTCTAGATCTAAATTCTTTCATTTAAATAGAATAAACGAGATTCATGAAAAGTTTTTCGAGTTTTCATGAAAAGTTAAGATTTTCTCTTAAAAAAATATATATTTTATTTGACAAATATTTTATGTTAGAGTACAAATAAATAAAATAAATACGTTATTAGTATCTACCCAGTAAATATTTTTTATATTCTTTATATTCTTTAGATATTTTTTCTTTCAATGTATGAGAACCATTCTTGTAGTAAGTGTTAATATATACTGAAAGAAAAAAATATTAGAAAAAAATATCAGATATATTTATATTTAGTACTTTCTAAATTGCTTGAAGTAAAATTTCACTCGAAAGACAAAGTGATCATAGAATTCGCAATCGAGTGATTTCTTATTCACATATGAATCCTCCACCTTGAATCGTCGAGTGAATATTTTTACTCAAAATAAAAAATGAATCTGATATACTCTACTGTCGCAACTTCAATTTAATTGATTGAAACATTCGTTCATATGGAGCCAGAATCCATTCTTGAGTGAAACATTTATTCTTACGACTTCAAGTGGCGGTGTTTACACTATCACTTCGAATGAAAATACTGCCACTTTTCGTTTCAAGTGAGATTTCACTCTAAGAAATTTAGAGAAGTATAGGTACTGATTACATATTTACTTAAGTCTAAATTGTTTCGTTTAAATAGAATAAACAATTGCTTTCATGAAGAGCGCGATGTTTTAGAAAAATATATATTTCCTTATTTAAAAGAAATTTTTTCTCTCAATGTAAAAATATATTTATTAATGCAAGTAAATATACCTATTGAATAAATATTTCTTATTTTTTAGATAGT